GAAATCCTACAGTCATATATATAGCCACTACTGGCTGTTGTGCAGAGGGACATTACACCCAGGTGTAGGTTTCACTGGGAACATGTTTGGACAATGCCACTCAATATGAAAGGAACTGAAAAAGATATGGTCTTGTGTTTTATGTTAAGATCTTTAGTATCTTGAGTTCCTGAAGAAACAGTTGAACAAGATTATTTTTTTTTTCATAATGCGTTTTTAGTGGGCAGACCTATGATCCTTGGTCCTTAGACATTTCTAGATGGTGTATTTAGTGTCTTGTGGGACTGTAGACATGGTCTGTGTAATTAGGGCAATCTAGCCTATCTCACAGTCGCTGAACCGATTTTCCCTTCCTCCCAGCTCCATGCTATAGCCCTATATGAAGCAAGTCTAGATTTTCCACAGGTTCTGAAACTCCCATCTCAGTGGGGTTCCTTTTTAGTTTAAATGCTTGTTTCAAAAGTATAAATTTTCAGAGACTAAGTGTGAGTCCAAGGGCAATCATTAACCTAGACTAACATCTGGCCTCTGAAAGGAAAATGTTTGATAGAAATACACAGTTGTTAACTTATCTGAATAAAATATAATAAGTAGGAGCCCAGATACTCATTTTCAGTAATCTATTCTTGCCAACTATCACAGACTTGCATTGGATCTGTTGGATATATTTGTTTCAGGGTCTGTATGACATGACAAACAGCATACAAACAATTTGGTTCAGTAAGAATACTACGCAACATTTGATAACGATACTGAAACTGGGGATTGGTCTTAGGGCTGTGCCATATTTTGCCGACCCCCAACCCCCCATTTTTTCATGGCCACACCCAAATAGATGTAACATTTTTTCATGACCCCACCTTCCCTATAATAAATAAACAGTCCCTAAATAATTTTCAAATTTATAATTTATTTATTTGAAAAAAATAGAACTGTGTGATTTTTTCATGGTTGTAATAGTTCAGTTGTGATAAATTTTGGTGCTGCCCATCTTTCGCTGTGTCATGTTATAACTTATATTATTAATGACCAGTCCCTAACAATACAACATTTGTTGATAAAGATAAAACAATGAGATAATGACTGTATTCAAAATAAAAATTCTTCGCCACCCTAATCCCAATAATAACATATCTAATATTTTCTACAAGCCCAATATGGAAAAGCAGTAACAAAGGTCCTGTTCATGTTTCTATGTCTGTTCCTGTTGTCATGCGTGCAGCGAGTGAGTGAATGTGTATTAGGAAGATAGCACTCCTCTCAGGCTGAGGGCTGTGACTATCCCTGTGTGATATATGGGACACTTAGTGTTGGGAACAGTGAGGGTGATTTAGTGGGGAGAGCAGGAGTGCCGTGATTTACTCCAGATACTAAAACTAAGGGGTATATACTCTGCACTTACTATCTAGATAGGGCTTTAAACTATCCATTACACTTGATAACATCAAGGAGATTGTAGGGGACAGAGGAATTCTCAGCTTGGAGTTGTGGAGGGAGGATATTCAGCATTAGTTACAATAGGCAATCAGGTCTTTATTTGGTGATAATTTTTTATTGATGTTATGCCTGCAAGTATGTTTTTTTAATGATATATGTTTGGAACTTTATGAGTTGGTGTTTATGGTTATATTGAGGGATAGTTTGGGGTTTAGATGGAGTTTGTTGGGGGTTGCCAGACAATGAATTCAGGTGTACTTGTGTTGAGGGTAGGGGGGAAGTCTTGTGAAGGGTATGGGTGGAGGTGGTGTGAGAGATGGGGGTGGGGTAGGGGTGTAGGTGGTTTGAGGGATACGGGTGGGGTATGGGTGGAGGTGGTGTGAGGGATAGGGGTAGGGTGTGGGTGGAGGTGGTGTGAGGGATAGGGGTAGGGTATGTGTGGAAGTGGTGTGAGGGATATGGGTGGAGGTGGTGTGAGGGATAGGGGTAGGGTATGTGTGGAGGTGGTGTGAGAGATAGGGGTGGAGTGTGTGTGGAGGTGGTGTGAGGGATAGGGGTAGGGTATGGGTGGAGGTGGTGTGAGAGATAGGGATGGAGTGTGTGTGGAGGCGGTGTGAGGGATAGGGGTAGGGTATGGGTGGAGGTGGTGTGAGGGATAGGGGTGGGGTATGGGTGGAGGTGGTGTGAGGGATAGGGGTAGGGTATGGGTGGAGGTGGTGTGAGGGATAGGGGTAGGGTATGGGTGGAGGTGGTGTGAGGGATAGGGGTAGGGTATGGGTGGAGGTGGTGTGAGGGATAGGGGTAGGGTGTGGGTGGAGGTGGTGTGAGGGATAGGGGTGGAGTGTGTGTGGAGGTGGTGTGAGGGATATGGGTGGAGGTGGTGTGAGGGATAGGGGTAGGGTATGGGTGGAGGTGGTGTGAGAGATAGGGGTGGGGTATGGGTGGAGGTGATGTGAGGGATAGGGGTGGAGTGTGTGTGGAGGCGGTGTGAGGGATAGGGGTAGGGTATGGGTGGAGGTGGTGTGAGAGATAGGGATGGAGTGTGTGTGGAGGCGGTGTGAGGGATAGGGGTAGGGTTTGGGTGGAGGTGGTGTGAGGGATAGGGGTGGGGTATTGGTGGAGGTGATGTGAGGGATAGGGGTGGGCTAAAAGAAGGACTGGTTGACTTGGAGTCAGTATACTGTATCTGAGTGGTGTTTACCTGTTAACCTGCGGCATGGTATCTCTATAAAAACAAAATTAGACCTGACTAGTACAAGCAGCCACACACACATGCATGCGCGTCACTATATAAGTGCAATAATCTTGAACGCGACATTAAACCCCATTTCACCTCACCTCCCCAATGGATCAAGCATTTATCTGGAACCCAGACTATCAGTATCAGCCATGTCCTCCCCAATCAGGATCTACAGGATAGGACTTCAGATTCAGTTATCCCCTGTTTATCCTTTGTCTGTTTGATAATATTATGTAGCTTTTATAGATGATCTCCAACTAAGTCAGAAAAACAAAGCCATAATAACAAATGTAATGATTTAAAAAACACATATTTATTAATGACATACATATGCAATTTTTGTACCTGGAGCTCCCTCATTAGGGGTACCTCACGTACAGTGCTGACATGAATTCTGACTTATCTCACACGATAGCTTTGACACAGCTTGGTTCTTATCCCAGGTAAATAGCCTCACAAATCACTGTTGATCCCTCGTACATATACACCTCACACATTCTTCCGCGGTTAGGAATCTAGAGATATCTACACATGGCAAACCATTCTTTGCTATCACACTACCCTAAATTATCCAGGTTATATAGATATTATATTGGTAAATTGATTTTAAGAGCCGTGTGGATATGAAATCTTGCTGATTAATGGTGAAGTTACCCATTGAGGACATGATATGTACATTACACTTGTCAAACGTCATTGATCTATGACAGTTGTGTATTTCAAATGTGTTACACTGAAAGTGACGACACTTGAGTATAGGTGGAACTGCCTGTCTTTCAAGTATGAAGCTTTAGATATAAGGGTCCTATTTCACTGAAATCAGTGGCTGTTGTGTTGTGAACTAATGCAATACACGTTATGTTGTTTAGCTGTCCATTGAGTAAACATGTCCTTGTTTGCTTGTTTCATCTGACACACTGAATTATTAACCTGTCATTGAAACAATTATGCTCTTTATTATTTGGCATTAATGATTTACAGTCAGTATTGCTCAAGTTTGCTCAAGTGGCTGTATTTTTGTATCATCTAATAAATAAAGAAACTATTGAAATCTACTTACCAGTAAATTTCCATGCATGTTTTAGCTTGTTCTTTTTATGGCACCTGGTGATGTCACTCGTTTTGGGTGATCCTTTCATATGATTTAGTCACTAATTTGCCTTTTGTGCGTAGTGGTGTTCGTTTGGGGGGTTGGTCAAAGCTTATTGTTCTCAGGTGTTAACTTTTTTAGTTTAAGTGTCCTCACAATATATTTGATACAAAACTCCTCAAAAACAGACATACATAATAAAACAAAACTGCTGAAAAAAGGAGAGAAAAAGTGAAATGTTAGTAGTCGCTTGTCTCCTAATTCTTTTACAAAAATATGTAGACGCATATATTTTTTTTATTCGGGACATAAAAAGACCAAAAAAAGATAATATTTTATGAAACTATTCACAATGAGCTGTCATTCTGAAGTTTCACTAAGACTTTTTCTTGGTGATTTTTTTGGTCAAAGTCATGATTTTAATGTTTACGTTGTTCAAATGGATAGTCTGGGAAATACTAATGACTTGGTAGTTCGCAATGACAGCAGGGACAGGGATCCCCATAGGTGAAAATAATGTTGTTTACTTCTGCATGGACACACAGGCCGCAGGTTTGAGTCAAGGAATTTCCATAATAATGACCTGTGGTTTGTCAGTACCGTCTCCTTGCTTGTGGGTTTCACCAAAGTGGTAAACAATAATGCCGACCAAAGTTACATTGGCTGTTCTCCAACTTACCATACATGATAGATAGAACGAAAATGGTGTTCAAAGCAGCATTAAATTAACACAAATCACTCACTCACGACAACAGCTGATAGTGTGAAGCCAATGTAAAACTCTGTCTTGTCTGGTAAGCTCAGCTAATAATAGTCTCTATAATAACATCTACTGGTACTGAAAATGATCCTAAGAGCCATTTCCGGGGTCGTTGACTCAAACGTTTTTGGCGCAGAATGCAGTATGTGGATGTTGTATCTATTACAGTACCAGTTATGATGACTTATGTAAATAAGGGGTGGTCGGGTAGCCTAGTGGTTAAAGCGTTCCCTTGTCAAGCCGAAGACCCCAGTTCAATTCCCGACATGGGTACAATGTGTGAAGCCCATTTGTGGTGTCCCCCTCCATGATATTGCTGGAATATTGCTAAAAGCGGCGTAAAACCATACTCACTCACTCAATTATGTAAATAAAGGTTTCAATTCTGTTGTCTCTGTGTAATGTTTTTTTCTGTAACAGTTTAATTCAAGAATTGTTTTTAAATATTTAACTGTATGTTTTCTTTATTTCAGTTAAAAACAAAGCAAGAATACACAATGAAAGTCAAACATTTTCTACCTCCTGTGGTAAGTTTTTTATCTCCTCTGATTCTCCTCACATAAAGACAGCACTGTTTGTTTTTGTTTTTCAGTTATCAAGGGTTGACACAATTTTTTTCCACAAAATTACAAGAAATTACCTGATTATCTTTGTGAAATTTTATGCTTGGAGTAGTTGTGTTAAAATAGACAAAATCTTCAAAATGAGCAAATTTGGAAATTGAAATGCTTTGTAATTAAGTTCAAAAGGGGTCAGTAATGTAAGCTTTAAATTGGGCAAAGATTTTGTCAGGAATAAAGCCACAAAAAATAACCTCACTGTAATTGTTGAACCTTTTCAAAAGCATGGCACCGTGTTTGGAAAGATAATCGGTGGAGAACTCATGTAGGAGGTTTTTGTCATGGAATAGCCGCCACTAAGTGCCATTTACCATGCAATGTAGAAGAACTACACATCAACAATATGAAACATGAATCCTATGGTCTGTATAATTGACAAAGAGTCCTGGAAAGGTTGAATAGAACTGGCACAAACCTGAGGAGTCGTTGTCAGTAATTGCTGTTGGCGCCGGTCAATGTACAACATATCGATTTTCCTATTACGGGATTGTGTTGAAAAACACTTGATCAGCAAGTGGCTCTGAATCCACTGTTTGCTAAGCCTAACAACTCACATTGATTTGCAATAAATAAAAGGCCACATCCAGTCACTGTTGTTTTTGTGATAGCCCCGTTTGTTTCCTAATGTTTCTGTGTATGTTTGTAATTAGTTCACATTCATTTACAGGTGAATGCTTTAAGAAGGAGCAAATTATTACTGAGATTTATTGTTGTATTATGGGTATGGGTGATTAAGTAAGTGTTATGATGCATTTATTGGTGCCGCAGTGCCATATGTGCTTGTGTGGACATGGTTAATGTGTCATGTGTTATTTACAGCCACTCCGTGAACTTGGATCGGAAATATATTCCTTTGTCATTAGTAATGTTAATTTGGGCTTAAACGCCAGTTTGTCCTTGAATAATGGGTGGCCCTGTGGTTTCAGGTGCCATAATTTACTGTGCAGAGTTGCATCCCTTAATTATGTCTGGATCCAGTGTCTTATGTTTGGAGAGCGAAAGGTCTGGGTTTGATCCCTGGCCACATCATACCAAAAGACGTTAGAAGATGGTACTTATTGTTACCCTGCCTGGCGCTCAGCATTAAGGGGCTAAAACAAGGACTGGTCGGTATCCATGCTGAACTGCGGCATGGTATCTCAGTGGGCTTGCACTATAAATCGGCATCAGTCTGGATTAGTACACACACACGCACATGCATTCATGTCGATATGTAAGTGCAATAATCTTTGATGTAATGTTGAACCCCATTTCACCGCACCTTGTTATTTAAGTATTGCGTTTCATGATGTAACTGACAAGGGAACCCAACTCACTCACTCACTCCCATCTACAGGCCTATGCTCCTGAGTTGTTTTTGTTGGAAGCAACGGGAGACATTTCATTAGCCAGTGAAGGGGATTCCCGGTCTCAGTCCTCATTCCGACAGCTCGGCGACAGCCCCAAGGGAAACAACCGGGGCTATAACTACCGGGATGATTACCGGGATCCCGGATCCAGAAGTTACCGTGATGACAAATACAACCAGAACAGTGAGTGCGGGAAATGTTTTGAGTTTCTTGTTTTGAAACATGGTAAATGTTTTGGTTTTCCATGTCATTTGAATTTCATTGTTTAATTGTGTTTCATTGTCATTTACATTGGATCTCTCATTGGTAGACAATGTACCCTTTCATTCATATGCAAATAATCAATATTTCCTTCCAAATAAATACTCGAACATTAGATGTGGTATTTGATGTATGATAACAACATGTGATTTATTTACATAATGTTTTGATTCATCACCTATCTTCTTTCAGCATGATAGGAAGATACTATCTCTGAAAACAATTGACAATTTTTTATGATTTTTTAACTTATCCCGCATTATTCCTTAATGCTTGTTCTTGTCAGAGAGAAAGAGCTTGTGAGAGGTCTTGCTGAAAAAGAAAAATCTTAGATATTTTTTATATTTGTATGCTTATCCTGCATTACTTCGTCTAAAGTGGCCCACCCGTTGCAGAGCTGCCTCATGTCTTCAGATGTTACGATCTAGCAGTAATGTGGTGATACCTGATGTCATTACTTCTGTTGTCACGTGGGAGCTGTGTGATAGGGTTAGTCACACAACCAGTTGGGACAACTTCTTCTTCAGCAAGACCTCACACAGCTCTTTCTCTCTATTCTCAAGAACAGCAGTAGATGCATTAAGGAGTAATGCAGGATAAGTATACAAATATAAAAAAAATATCTAGGATTTTACTAGTTTTTATTATGTGATTGTGTACAAATATGTATTTTCATTGAACAGATCGAAGAGTGTTTATTGTTGAGTTCTTTACAGATATTTAGTTTTATCAAAGCAAAAAATAATGAATCAAGTTTGGGATCGGATGGTAAATTGTACTATTTCTTCTTGATTTGAAGATGGGACAAATCGCTTGCCACAAAAATATCGACACGGGGGTAAGCCTGGTTATAATCTGGTTTTCACTCCAAATATATGCTGAGCTTTTTTTTATTAATCAAAATGGCTGAGTGATTGATGTGATATATATACTCAACTTAACATCCTTTTTCAGGTTTGAAATGTTTGGTGTTGAAGGTTTTTGAATTAATTCTAACAAAAGATCTTGAACAGAGAAATGATGAATCGGAGGTTTTGACATCTTTCCATTACATCAGGCAATGTGTGCTGGTTACAAGTTACAAATAAATGCAAGGAAGTTGAAGAAATGAAGAGAAATGGGTACAGATAATTTGTATGTGTGAAGTGTCTTCCATCAATACTAAAGGGAGATAACTCATTACTTTCATACCATTGTTAACAACTAATTGAATAAAAAAACTCAGTCATGATTCATAATACACATAAATTTGAAAATTATATTTCTTTGTCCAAAGGTTCACTTAACTGTATCACTTTATTGGAAGAGGAAATGAAATGGTCTATTCATGAGATAAGATTTAATGTTTATGATGACAAAAGCTGGATTTATATTTATTAAGGGATTTTTTTTATTTAATGACAATAGTTGGACACAATTCAAATGACAGTATGTTTCCAACAGATGCTAATTTTGAGAATCTTTTTCTTATGGAAATGCTTCTGATAGTATGCAAATGTATCCATACACCAACAGATTTAACTTATCAAAGCTTTATAATTACAATCCTAAATAGGTTGTTTTGTGTTGATCAGCTGGTAAACATTTTCCTTCTTTAATTTGAAGAACTGCCAGCACAGGGTTGAAAGAATGATTAAAATGTGAGATGGTATGGTACAGATTCATATGCTTTCATCATAAAATACCTCATCATGAATAGTTGCTGAGGTAATACAGTATTAATGAAGTTAAACAATTATGTAATTACAACATGCTTTTACTTCAAGTTTCATTTTGTATTGTCTTATTTATTCCCAAAGCATGGAAGTTGGTGTGACCAAGCTTTAGTGATGCTGGAATCTGGTTAGGGGAGCATCTCAAAAGCATTCACTTTCATTTTGAAACTTTTCCCCAATATTGATTATGTCTTTTCCAGATTAATTTTTAAAAACATTAATTTTTAGCTGGCAACATTTTGTGAATCAAAGAATAAGCATGTTCCTCTTTCATCCCAAAGTTGGATAAATGTGTGGTCAAGATATCTGAGCCACTGCAGTTGGTAGTTATGAACCATTTCAATATTTGTACACATGAAATGTATTTATGTTACAGTGATTTGTAGAGTATATGCTGTTCAATCAGTGAGATTCCTTTGCCTTGTTTGTGAATGAAATGGACCATTGTTGAAATGTGTCGGAAACTCTTTATAAACCCAATGTATTTGCTCACAATTTATACCATAATATACAAGAAGTAGTTATGTTGAAACACTTGTTACAATTTATAACATAATAAACCAGAAGTAGTTTTGCTGAAAGCCTTGTGACAATTTATTACATAATATACCAGAAGTAGTTTTGCTGAAAGCCTTGTGACAATTTATTACATAATATACCAGAAGTAGTTTTGCAGAAAGCCTTGTGACAATTTATAATATAATACACCAGAAGTAGTTTTGCTGAAAGACTGGTGACAATTCATAATATAATACACCAGAAGTAGTTTTGCTGAAAGACTGGTGACAATTTATAATATAATACACCAGAAGTAGTTTTGCTGAAAGTCTTGTGACAATTTATGATGTAATACACCAGAAGTAGTTTTGCTGAAAGACTTGTGACAATTTATTACATAATGTACCAGAAGTAGTTTTGCTGAAAGTCTTGTGACAATTTATAATATAATACACCAGAAGTAGTTTTGCTGAAAGACATGTGACAATTTATAATATAATACACCAGAAGTAGTTTTGCAGAAAGACTTGTGACAATTTATAATATAATACACCAGAAGTAGTTTTGCTGTAAGACTGGTGACAATTTATTACATAATATACCAGAAGTAGTTTTGCTGTAAAACTTGTGGCAATTTATAATATAATACACCAAAAATAGTTTTGCTGTAAGACTGGTGACAATTTATAATATAATATACCAGAAGTAGTTTTGCTGAAAGCCTTGCGACAATTTATTACATAATATACCAGAAGTAGTTTTGCTGTAAAACTTGTAGCAATCTTAGTCTACATTTCAAAGACTTATGTCAGAGCAGATACAGATGGTAGGAACACTATTTTTTCTTTTCAATATTGCATGTTTACACATGTAGATTATTGCTCCGTAAATCAATTAGTGCTTTCTTAGAAAGGAACTTAGTTTGGCATTTTTCTTCTGCTTTATGATGACAACAGGTCGGTCAGATATGAAAATAACAACAGTATTTGTTATTTGGTATAAAATGGAGTTGGTAAAGATTTAGTTCACATAGTTTGTTTGTAGATGTTAAGATGACATTACAGTATCCAATTTATATATGTCGTTTCCAATCAGTCTGCAAGATTACTTTCTGATATGTGGGGAAATTGTTTTAATTTACAAGATACATCAGGTGGATTCTATTTTATGACCATGTGGAATATGTTTTTTTTTTCTCTTTTCACACACTGAAGATGGTACAGATCGTTCACCAAAAAAATATAAACGTGGGGGTAAGATAGCTTACATTCTGATTATATGAAGTAAACTTATAATTAAATTGATTTATTAAAACCCTAGACACACCAGTGTGAAGCATTCAAAATGGTTATGTAATGTCTCTTTGAAGGCAAAGGTCCAAAAAAATTAAGCAAGATTATAAGAGAAATCATTTTCAAAAGGCAGCTTTTACATTACAAAGCAAATGTATTGATATACCTAAATGGAGAAATTAAAACAAAATTGACAAAATTGATTATATTGCTCCATTAAGTTACTGAAGGAAGATATTTTTTACACACTTTGAAAATGAAGTTCAGGTGTGTGCAGTTGTTATTAAACTAGTTAAGTTTATGTGAATGTCATTTTTAGTCTTTTTTAAAGTATTGTGTTAATTGCAGTTCCCATGTCAAAGTCTATTGTAAGAGAAGAGACTGATGGTAGGGACAATCTTTTTCTTTTTTCTTTTGTATGTATAGAATCTGTTCAGTTTCCCAAAGTTTGCTTCTTTAGAATGAATTAAACTCAGCTTTTTCTTCTGCATAACATTATGATATATATACAAGTGACAAAAGTAATATGGAATCTTACAATTGGTAGTTATGTGAGATGTGTTTTTTGGTCTTAAAATGATACCATTGAATACAGTTAGTCTCATGACCTTTAACTTTGCATCTGTGTTTAAGTATGCAGTTAAAAAACTTTTCATTTGCAAAATTTTATTATCATCTCGAAGCTGTGGAATTGGGTAAAAAATGTACCTTTTTTTCTATCACAAAATGAAGATGAAACTGATCGGTCACAAGACAAAAATCAGCATCGCGGTAAGATTGAAAGTATGTGTCTAGTTTTGTGAATTTTTAAACATCTTTATCAGGTCATAAAGACTTATCCACACTGGAAAACAAATGTTACCTGAAGCTTAAGAAATGCATCTTTAAGAGCATATTCATAGCAGAAATATGAATGATAATGTGTTGGAGATAGCAAATCTGTAATAGCAACCTTTACACAGCAAATGCATGGACAGATTGATAATAAAAGAATTAAACTGAAATGACAAAATTGATGATAATGCTCCCCCAAAAAGCATTGCCTTACTTAAGGGGGAGATAATTGTTATCACTTCTATGTCAGGGGAAAGTTAAACGAATTACAAGCTTGTTAAGCGATGTTTCCAACAGTAAGCCTTGTGCTACTACCACCACTGTCAAATTGTCAGTTGTCACTTTCCAAATTTGTACATGAACAGAATCTTTGGTCTTTGTCGGGCATATTATATTGTACTGGATTATCCTCCACTTACAGTTTTGTAACACCCAGTTGTCTCGTTGAAAGTGTTGTGTTGATTTCAGTCTTATTATCAAGCCCTAGTGAAAAGGAAGAAACAGATGGTATGGGCAATTTTTATTTCATAGGTTTACGAGAATTTTTTTTTTACAAAACACTTTTTTGATTTATTAGTAAGGAATTAAGAAAATTGTTTAATATGATTTCAAACATAAGAGATATACGAATAACAAAAGTTACAGTAATGTGTTAAAAAATGTATAATTTAAAGGATCTGTCTTGTTCAGGTTCAAAAAGTTAATACTGGTAACTAATCAGATAATAATCTTTGGTGGTTTTGATCTTAGAATGACTGTTATATATTGCATTAGACAAATCTATAAAAACATGTCATTTTAAAGATATATTCACCATTTTTATGTTCATCAGAGCTGTGAAATTATACAAATAATTTATACTTCATTTTCTTTCCATCACAAATTGAAGATGAGAGAGATAAAACACCGGACAAACTTCAGCATAGTGGTAAGATTGACTAAATGTAACATATTCAAAATATATATCGGTAGTAACATTAATTTATCAGCTCAGTGCAAATGGCAAGTTTGAATCATATTTTTCTTCATGCACAGATTACACCATTCTATCAGATGTACTGAAAGCCAGTGTAACTTAGAAATGGATGTAAATAGCATTACAAAGGATCTTTTGATTGTAATGAAAATGAACTAAATTATTTTATCGAACAAACATAAACTGGCAAAACAATTCCTTGTACTGATGACAATATCAAGCACAGAAACTAAAGCCTCATTTGCTCACTGTAGAATTTATTGACACATCCTATATAATAGGTACGAAACTTTGTCATGTTTTCAGAAAGTGTTATGTTACTTTCAGTCTTCATATCAAGCTCTCATGAAAAAGGAGACACAGATGGTATGACAGATGCTTTTTCATTCATATGTTTGCACACATATGAATAGTTATTTACTGAGACATGCTTTCATAGATAACTTAGCAACTTTATTTTTTAGCTTTTCAATTCTAAAAAGGAGAAAGTCAATTTGACTGAAGTAAAATGTAACATTCAATTGTCTAAGATATGTAGTGTTTAGTTAAATGTGATGACAAATTCAGGAGTTCATGTTTAACATTTGTATCAGGGTAAAATTAAAATCACGTCATGACCAAATCAACAATTGACATAAGGGCAATCAAAGTAGTAACAAGTGTGAAACAGTTCAAAGAATTGTATTACATTTTCCTTCCACTGATAAACAGCTGCTACAATATCAATGTTTCTTCTTAATTTGAAGATGAATCAGATCGACCATCGCCGAAATATCAGCGTGGGGGTAAGACATGTATTCAAACTTCACTTTCAGTTTGTTACTGATCGATATGCTTGGCAGGTCATTATGCAAAAGTTGACGCTAATTTATTTCCTCAAGAATAAATTATATGTTTTAGAAAATCAATATTTAACAAGCTTAAGTGTACATTAGTAAAAAATACCTGAAGCACCTCTCTTGCATATTACATACCTGGATACACATTGTTAGGCACATGTGAAAGGAAATGAACTACATAATAAAATGGACAAATGAAGTTGTCCCATGATTCTTAAGTCAATGCCACTTTGAAGTGGATGAACATAGAATTGCTCAAAAAAGGATCTTTTGAGTACAAGGAACATAAGAAGAGATAATTTCTATTTCAAGACAATCTTTTATCTAATCAAACAATCATTCAACTGGCACAAACATGATCCCGTGGGTACGATATGTTGTCATGGTTTCAGAATGTTATGTTATTTTCAGTCTTTGTATCAAGCTCTCGTGTAAAAGGAGACACAGATGGTATGACAGATGCTTTTTCATTCATATGTTTGCACACATATGAATAGTTATTTACTGAGACATGCTTTCATAGATAACTTAGCAACTTTATTTTTTAGCTTTTCAATTCTAAAAAGGAGAAAGTCAATTTGACTAAAGTAAAATGTAACATTTAATTGTCAAAGATATGTAGTGTTTAGTTAAGTGTGATGACAAATTCAGGAGTTCATGTTTAACATTTGTATCAGGGTAAACTTAAAATCACATCATGATCAAATCAACAATTGATATAAGAACAATCGAAGTAGTAACGTGTGGAACAGTTCAAAGAATTGTATTACATTTTCCTTCCACTGATAAACAGCTGCTACAATATCAATGTTTCTTCTCAATTTGAAGATGAATCAGATCAACCATCGCCAAAATATCAGCGTGGGGGTAAGACATGTATTCAAACTTCACTTTCAGTTTGTTACTGATCGATATGCTTGGCAGGTCATTATGCAAAAATTGACACTAATTTATTTCCTCAAGATTAAATCATTTTTTTCGAAAATCAATATTGAACAAGTGTTAGTGTACATTAGTCAAAACTGCATGAAGCACCTCCCTTGCACATTACATACCTGTATACTCATTGTTAAATACAAGTGAAAGGAAATGAACTACAAAATGGAATGGACAAATGAAGTTGTCCCATGATTCTAATGGGAGATAACTCTTCAGTACTTCTTCAGTCATTGATTGGTGCATATACAATGTACACACCTTCTAGTTGTCACAGAGTGTTCTTAATCCACTTATAAGTACTTGCACTATGACAACTGTTTGTGATTGAGAAAAACATCTTAGGTGAATTTTCTTTACGAAGCATCTTTGATAGACTCTTCTTGGAAACAAAACTATTGTATTATTTTCAGTCTACATGTCCAGTTCTAATGTGAAGGAAGGAACAGATGGTATGACAGATATTTTATATGTTCATATGTTTAGACAGATATGAATAGTTGCTTTGATAGTTAGGAAATTTGTTAAACTATTTATTTTTGCTGATGAATTGAAAGAAAAATATGAATAAATGATTGTAGTATATAGATGGCAGATTTATATGGGAATAAGGTATTTAGTTTGTGATGAAAACTAGTTTATTTCACAACTGTATTGGAGTAAATGTAGAATCACATCTTGAATAAAAAAAGAACTGAAAGGAGAATAATTTAAGTGGTCTTAAGTCTTCAACTATTTAAAGGATTGTTTTTACCTGTTCATTACAAGTAAACTTGATAAATAGATGGAAGAATATCAATTTTTCTTTTCAATTTGAAGATGAAACTGATCAACCACCATCAAAATATCAACGTGGGGGTAAGATATGTTCAAACTTAACATTCAGCTTGTAAAACTGATTAATGCGCTGGGCATCAATTTGATATAGTTGATAATACTAAAGGTAGGTTGTAGGTATTAACTTTCAACATCGAAGATATCAAAACCACTTGAGAGTAAATATATAAAAAGAATGTGTGAAGCACCTGCTGTGAATATCATAGATATGCTTGTATAAAGTAACTAAAGGGAAATAATTCTTTAAAGCTTCTTTAGATATTTGATCGTGACAGCAGAGTGCCCTTTATCCATGAATAACATGCAGGACTACAGTTATTTTATTTTTTAAATAATTTAGCAGGTGAGGTAACAATTATTGAGGAAGCGTTTTGATTGACACTTTTTATGAAAAAAGGTTATATTAATTTCAGTATACATATCAAGTTCTAATGTAAAGAAAGGAACAGATGGTATGACATATATTTTATGATTTCATGTTTGCACTCTTATGATTAATTGCTTTGATAGATAGGAAACATAGCAACCTATTTTTGTTTTACTTATGAAATCAGAGAAACAGACAAACAAATCACACAAGTAAACTGAACAACTTGTCTGTTCAATTTATCTGTCAAATATTTTTTTAATTGATTGTGATTTCATGCTTCATATTTCTATCACCTCAATTAAATTATGAACTGAAAGAACAATCAAAGTTATTTGAATGAAACTCTTTATGAATTCTTTTTCATATTCATAACTGTCAATACAAAATTGATAAATGGCTGCTACATTATCAAAATTTCTTCTTCATCTGAAGATGAAACAGGTCGAGCATCACCAAAATATCTGCGTGGGGGTAAGACTTCGCTTATGTTACTGATCAAAGTGCTTTGCAGGCCAATGTGATATAGTTGATTAAATACACGCCTTATATTTCAAGATTAAATTATTTTTCTTCAAGATCAATGCTGTCCAACAATCATGAGAGTAAATAAATAAATAGCACCTCTTTTGAATATAATACATGTTCTTGTGTGCAGTATGCAGTAACCAAAAGGAGATAATTGTATAAACCTTCTTCAGCTATTTGATCATGATCACTGAGTGCCCTTAATCCAAGCATAACATGCACTTCTACAGCTATTTGATTTGGTAAATAATTTTGTATCTAAGGTAACATTTTTCTAAGACGCTTTGTCATAAAAAGTTTTGAGAGATAAGGTTATATTAATTTCAGTGTACGTATCCAGTTCTAATGCAAAGAAAGGAACGGATGGTATGAGAGACATCTTAAAATTTTTATGATTTCATGTTTGCACTCTTAGGATCAATTGCTTTGATAGATAGGAAACAAAGCAACCTATTTTTGTTTTACTTATGAAATCAGAGAAACAGACAAACAAATCACACAAGTAAACTCAGCAACTTATCTGTACAATTTATCTTTGTAATATTAGTTTAGTTGAGTGTGATTTCATGCTTCATATTTGTAATTAAATTATGAACTGAAAGAACAATTAAAGTTATAATCAACTTTTTTGAATGAAACTCTTTATGAATTCTTTTTCATATTCATAACTGTCAATACAAAATTGGTAAATAGCTGCTACATTATCAAAATTTCTTCTTAATCTGAAGATGAAAGAGGTCGAGCATCACCAAAATATCGGCGTGGGGGTAAGGCTTCGCTTATGTTACTGATCAAAGTGCTTTGCAGGTCAATGGGATATAGTTCATAAAGTACACCCCTAATTTCTTAAGATTTTCTTATTTTTGTTTAAAACCCGAGCTATACAATAAGCTTAAGAATAAATTAATAAGAAAAATGTGTAACATATACATGTACATGAAGGCATAATGTTGTTAAAGAAAGATAACAAAGAGAGATAACAAAGAGAGTATGAAGAGAGTACTATGATAGCTATTTGATTGGTGCACACATCAGTTTGACTCTATAAATTAATTGTAGAGGAAGCATTTTCAGAAGAGATATTGTATTAATTTCAGTCTACTTGTCGAGTTCTAATGTAAAGGAAGACACAGATGGTATGAAAAATGTCTCTTTTTTCATTCATTTGATGCAGCTCATGAATAATAGCTAATGCCAAATATGTGCTTTTATAGCTGGAAGATTTTGCAATTTCATTTTTTCACAGGCATAAATAGATATATGTAGTTATATATGTAACAAATATATGGATACCTTTAGAGCTTCATTTTGGTTTGAATCCCCTGTTGCCCATTCTTATATCTGTTATATTTAGTTTCATCATATAGGAAGCGGACATGCTGTGATGTTACTGAAATACTGTTCAAAGCTGCATTATATCCACCTCACTCACTCAAGTTTCATGACTTTAATTTTTGAGCTTGTTCTGAAGTTTTTACGCTTTTTGTCACAGAATCTCTAACATATAAATTATCATACACTTATTGTTGAAACAAAAATTATCAGTGCTTGATTGTTTTTTTCAATCTAGATAGTATTATCAATAAAGACAAGGACATTTTTCTGATAAATTTTGTCTCTTCACTATTCATTTGACTGGCTGGGGTATTGAATTCTTTTTTTTTTCCAACTAGAAGACACATCACAACAAAAATATCAACGTGGGGGTAAGCTATCTATTCCGGATATGCAAAATATTTCAACTCAGTGTTACACTTTACAGATGAATGAGAGATATGAAACTATATATAACAAGCATTTCTCTAATATTTTATTTTGTTCAAGATCAATTAATGTAGAAACTTCCAAAGCGAGCAAAGTTTAACCTAAAGCACATATCTTTTTCATCTATTTAAATGAATCAAATGATCAAATGATGATAACGAGGATTCTCCCATTTGATTACCGGTACCCTTTTCAGAAAGTGTTGTGTTAATTTCAGTTCACTTATCAAGCTCTAATGCAAAAGAAGAAAAAGGTGGTATGGCAGACATTTTGTTCTCCATTTTCTTTACACATTCTTTTTTTGAAAAGTGAGAAGTACCAAAATTCATTATATTTGCACTTGAAAATTTAGGCAGAAATAGCTTCACACAAATCACTGTATGTATAGAGACTTAATTCGTAAAAATTATTTGATTACTGTTTATTATTTCCGAACATATAAAGCTACCGGTATTTGTGTGTAGTGATATTAGAATTTTCCTCAGGAAGAAAGTATTTTTTTTATCAGATATAACTGTGTGTCATCTGACTATGACATATACAAACTTTCATATCCCATATGTTCATGCTAAAATTAGGAACAAAAATATCAGGTAAATTTTATTATTTTTCTTTCATTTTGAAGACGAGAGAGATCGATCACCACAAAAATATCAACCTGGGGGTAAGATTAGTTCCAGTCTGTCATCACTGAGAATACACACAGCTTCTTTAATTATCTAACATGGCTTACAGTCTGTGATGTGTGATCTTGACATTACTAAAACAATAAACATATATTATAAAAGACAACAAATAAAATATGAACAACTGAACACAGATGATACTGATTGCTACTCTCAAGTGTATACTCCGTTGGGAGATGAAAATGAATTAAGAATGCACTCTGACCCATTATGACTAAGGTCATATACCAGGGACGTTGATCTTGCTTCTAGGACAAGTCCTGTACTGTAAAATTGATGCTATTTGAAAAAAGGTATTTTGAAGTCAATTTGAATGTTAGTGTTTTGTTTGTAGTTGTCTTGAAGGGTGACTTAAAGTCATGTTTTCAGAGACTCTTGTCTTAATTTCAGTCTTATCAAGTGCTCTTGTTAAAGAAGGAACCTATGGTATGGGAGATATGTTATATTAATTCATGTGTTTCTGCACACATGAATAGCTGCTTTTAAGATTCAATAACATAGATAGAGACCTAACAAATACTGTCATTGATTTCTGTTTATATCTATAAAAGAAAGGGTGTAAATGCAATTTGGTTTTGGAAGAAGTAAAATGCAACATATTTTCCAAATTCATCATAGTTTTATAACTATTGCTCAGATGTTTCTTTGGTGAAATTGTTTCCTCAAAATAGAAGTTTGTGTAATGTATACGTAAGATTAGATCTTACTTAGTTTAAAAAGTTTCTAAATTCTGTCGGATGTGAATACTTTTTCTTGTCAATTTTAAGATGTAACAGATGAACCATCCAAACAAAATGAACGTGGGGGTAAGATTTTTGTTACTGAACTTTCTCTTAAGTAGAATAACAACATAACCTTTCTAGTGAGCTGTTTTCAGATGTTATGTGGAGTTATACAAGCAAACATACTGAAGAAAGCTACTGTATTTTTGAGTCAGAATGTAGAAAATAATATCATATACAGTTATGATGGATGAAACGCTTTGGGTTTCTAGTTATATCCCCAAGAAAGAAACCTGAAAAGAGTATACTTCATTCTTCTTGAAGTTCACATTAGGTTGTTTGATTGCTCTGAGTATATTGTAATGTTCAAGATTGGTTCGTAACCTGCTTGGGGCGGTCGGGTAGCCTAGTGGTTAAAGCGTTCGTTCGTCACACCGAAGACCCGGGTTTGATTTCCGACATGGGTACAATGTGTGGAACCCATTTCTGGTGTCCCCAGCCGTGATATTGCTGGAATATTGCTAAAAGCGGCGTAAAATCAAACTCACTCACTCACTCGTAACTTGCTTGAACCAAATGTTTATGTGTTGATCAAGCACTGTGCTCATGCTGTGGAACGTTTACATTTCCTAAATCTATGAAACCACTTGGAAGTCACACCTGCATGCATGGTCTTATAACTTAGCATGTAAAAATTGTAAGACTTACCTCGACTTTATGATGAGTGAACATACTGTTACTAATATTATCTATGAGAGCATTGAACTTTGTTTTTGTTTATTGAGAACCAACAAGTATTTTATGTATTGTTTGTTATTGATTTAAAGACAGAACTGATCGTTCATCAAAAAAGCATGGGGGTAAGATAAATTGATCATGTCATATTTTTTTCCTTATTTTGTATTCATTTTGTTAAGTACATTTTGTTAATAAATGTTTGTTTATGATCAATATGAATGTTAAGTGATGATTATTATCTTATGTTAATGGAAATAGGTTGTTTTTATACTTGGACCACATCTTCAAGTTATTCTTAAAATACATTTAATAGCTTTTTCTTCTTCATGCAGGTCACACATTTATTTTTCCTTGATTTTCTTGATCAAAACAAGGGCTATTAGCTAAAATTATCACACAAAAATGTAGATCATTCACAGCTTTAAATGTAAAAATGATCTTGACAGATGTCCCAGTTTGTTTTTCAAACACTGACTACCTGGATTGGTACATTCTTAGAACTTAATTGAACATGAAGATACTATTTATATTTTAATTTGGACTGATTCATGAATCAAGGAAGAAAAAAGTATGGCCTCTTAACTAAAATTCATAGAATTTAGTTCTAGTGCTAGTTAGATGTATATAAAAAAGTAAACTAAACTAAACTCAAACAGGATGGTGAAAGTTACATGCTTAGTCAGATTGTTTTTATCAATCAGTATGCTAATCAGTATATTACGTCACATTTTACATTATTTACATAGAAACAAAGTAATATTTTCTGCAAACATTAAAGGAATATATGATTCACTGAGGTACTGACATTCTGTCCTCACATGCTCAGATAGCAAACTTTGGAGGACATGGTTAATGCAACCTGGAAACTGTACCTCTACATTTTCCAATTGATGATCACACTTCTTAAAAGTGAGGTTTAAATGTATTTATGTTTGTTTTAGACACTTACTGAATATTTATATTTGGACTAAGTATGGAACATATGTTTTGGGTTTATGATTGTACGTTCATTTTGAAGATGAAACGGATGATTCATCAAAAAGGAATCGCCGGGGTAAGATGAGTTTAAATTGAACTTTATTTTTCATGAAATGATTATTTTACTAATATTGTGTTTTTTTTTGTTTTTGATAACATTACATGCAAATTATTTGCAGAGAATGTGTAGTTGTTTTTTTAAAACATATATTTAATGAAGCAATGTGCCACAATACAAGAGGAAAACATGAACACGATCTTAAGAGTTTGAAGGCAGTTTTTTAATCTTTTATTTTATACTTCTTCAAATTAAGGCAGTAAACAAGAGTAAAATCTAAAGAGAGCAAAACTGTAGCAAAAATCTGTTATTTGTAACTGAAATGTGAATACAATTAATTGACTTCTAACATCTTGTCATATGTTATAACAACAAAATGTCCTTTATATTAACCAGAATATCAAATTTGTAAAGTAGATTTTGTAAATTTGTGAAACAAATAATTTCAAGTTTCTTGGCACTTTCAAATTGGATCTTCAAATGCTCGTAAAGGCAGGGGTCAGATCATTTTTGATGAAATACTAATACTGATAATTAAATAAAAATGTTCAAACCAATCATTCCACAGAAGTAATGCATCAACAAAACAAAATACATTTTAATTTGATGGCCTGATGATTATCCGAAATACCATCAAGGTACTTAGATTTGATTTTGCAAATACTCTATGGCTATGTTGTTGATATTAAGGTGAAACTGATGACTCATTAAATGACCACTTCCACAGAGGTAAGAACAGTTAAAATCTGTGTGAGTCACTGGCTTTCAGTTGCTTGGTTTACAGATGTTTTCTTCCTGTTAAGTCTGTTGACAAATTCAATAAGAAGATAACCTTAAATATGAAAATCAAAATGTGAAGGAACTTATCCAATTACCATTTTTTCTCAGACTATATTTAAATAGTATCTTTCTGACCATACTTTTCACTCTGTTTTGTTATACTTTTGAAATATATATTTCTTTATTTTGACAATTTAATATATCTTTAATTCAAGTAATACAAAAGAAAACAAAGTAGAATGATTAATTTTGTGTTTTGGTTTGCCTAATAAATAGTTTCTTCATTGTTAACACTTCTAATTAATCAAGCATCAAATATGTAACTACTGCCTTGAAATATCTTAACAGTTTCAAGACAAATTGAAAGAATAAAGAACAACTGAGGTGAAAAATTCTCATTCATAAACAAAACTTTAAATATCCTGCTGATTCAGAAACAAAGAACAACTCTGATGAAAACTCCCTATTCAGAAACTCATCCCAAAGAACAGTCATAGGGTTATTTGTTACCGTATTAGACATAATAAGCACCCAGGGCGCTCTCAAAATTAGAAATAGGGGGCTCTTATTAGAATATTATTTTGATGAAAAACAACAGAGTTGAAAGATCGTAAATTTCGTGGTTTATGCTGATAGCCTGAAATGTTTATATACGACAGATATATTTATCCAGAATTTAATTTCCCATACTTAAGGATGCATACAACACACGTATTATACACAAATAAGTAAGTCTTGTGTACATTGAACAATCAGAAGTGGTGCTAATTGGAATTGTTCACTAGCCAATATATTAGCAAATATCGCCGTGGGCGCTTATTAGAGCGGGACGCTTATTTCGTTGAATACGGTATTTGATGAAATATATATACAAAGCATATTCATTTGCTAACTCAATGAAGCTATATGCTATTCCTTCTTATAAACATGAGCAAGGCAGTGTTTCTTCTCATCAACAGACATCTTATGCTACAAACAAAAACACATGTATCAATACATATATCCATTTGATCATCTGAATTAACAAAATTCTCAAGCAGGAGATGATTAATTTTATTCAAAGAGCTACATGTTGAATTTTAGCCCTTTGTTTCAAGCTTAGGGGATGTTATGGACATCTTTGTCAGTTTAGATTCTGCTTTCTAATTTGAGTTTGCAGTACACTTAAAGCCAACGTTCAAGCAGTTGTACATCAACTTATGTCAGTCTCTCACACTGTCACTGCTTTTATTTATACAGATGTTTAGTAAGTCAGTAATCTCATCAACATAAACAGGATGACAGGTAGCCGAGTGGTTAAAGTGTTGGCTCGTCATGCTGAAGGCCAGGTTTCTATTTATTCCTCTCATAGATACAATTCGTGCAGCCCATTTCTGGTGCACCCTGCCATGATATTGCTTGAACATTGCTACAAGTGGTGTAAACCATACTCACTTCCTCATCAACAAGAACATTATACATGTATCAACTGAGGTCATATCGACTACCCACAAATGGTTAGTTTCACTGAGGCTCCCTGGGTTTACAGTGGAAATATTCACTTTCTAAAAGCAAATATTATGGAAGGACCAAAAGCTAAATACATGTGTAATTACTGAGAACATCCATTTCTTCTCACTTTGAAGATAAAAAGGATCGGCCAACTAAAAAATATCAACGTTGGGGTGAGCTAACATAGTTTGATATATTTTTGTTTGGATTTTTTGCTTGTAAACTAATTTTTATTTGCAGAAAGTACTTTGTGTTATAATATAAACAAATAGTTGTTAAATTGTTGTTTTATCATGAAAAGAGAATTGTAAGAATATTGAGAACATTGGTATGCATTCAATATTTTTTTATCCAAAAAGTTGTAAAAGTTGTCAGTCAATTTATGAACAATTTTATATAAGGTTTGCCACTAATGGAAATACAACAAATTGATTCTTACTACAGTAAGAAATCAATTTTACACAATGATTATTTAAGATCTATTGAAAATAATTTAAGTTGTTAATATCTTGTTAATTTCAAGATGACCAAGATGGTTCACCACATGCTCACAAGCCTGGGGGTAAGAGTATTGTACATAACTCATAAATATCAGATAACAATTAAACATGTCATCATTTTTCCTTGAAGATGACATATCTTCTCTATTCTTTGCAAATAGTTATAAAAAATATGTGCTGCATAAAATCATACTGATACTATTAGAGCCAAATTTCATTAATCTTCACTGGGGAATGTAGAATCCAAATAATATTTATAACAGTTAAAGCTGTAAGATTGTATCTGACTTTGCCTTTTCTCCATCGGGTAGCCTAGTGGTTAAAGCGTTCTCTCGTCACGCTGAAGACCCGGGTTCGATTCCTGACACTGGTACAATGTGTGAAACCTATTTCTGGTGTCCCCTGCCGTGATATTGCTTGAGTGCTAGAAGCGGCATAAAACCATACTCACTCACTCTCCATGGAAAGGGAAGAAATAATATGACAGACTCCTTGTGGGAAATGTTTTAAGTATCCTGATATGAGACAAATTGAAAGAATTTGTTTTTCTCCATTTTAAGATGAGACTTACCGACCATCTAATAGACATCAGCGTGGGGGTAAGAATAGTCTGTACCTGATATAGTGTATCCAAATTCCTGTATTAGTTCAACAAATCAAGACATGTAAACTCTTTCTTTTTAATCTTAAGCTGTTTCTGTCCCACTAGTCACAAAGAATAGCCTTTATCATTTGTTCAACCAACAGTGTATACAATCTATCAAATAAAATGATAAATAAGTGTATTTTTAGGAATACCATATGGAAGACCTTATTGAAAATATTTAATGACAATTTAATGTGAATATGTAGCTTTGATTTGTTGCCAGCTTTGTCATGTATGAGACATTCTCTCAAGGATTTAGCAAACTTTACCTTGCAACAAAATCTGACATGTAAATTTTTATTTAATTTGAAAGATGGGACAGATCGATCACCTGATAGACAACAACATGGGGGTAAGATAAGTTATGAGATAATCACCTTTTTCCAATCATATATTTACTTGCTGATTGCCACTATAAATAACATATGGTTAATATATTTTGAAAGAGACATCTAAGGTTCTTTTAAGATAATCAAGCCAAGAATAAACACAAAAAGCAAAAATATTTTGGACTTGTTCAACTTCATGACGAATCAGATATAAATATCTTTCTATTTAATAAGGATATAGATTTTCTGTGGTTTTGTACAGATACTCTTACTAGATTATAAACCATACTTTCTCTGGTATTCAAGATGGAACTGATCGAACATCACAGTCAGATAAACATGGTGGTAAGGTATTTCATTTTTGCTGCTACAGTTACCTGGCTTGACTTTTAACATTTTCCTTTTCAGTACTAATGACTTTTTCTGTCTGTTTGATTGACGAAATATAACAGGTTGAACATGCTTTAATGCTGTGATCAATAACTTTGAGGTCAAGACTTGTCTGCTCATGAAATGAGCTCTTCTCTTCTGTGCTGCATATCTTTCTGCAGTTATTGGTAATGTTGGTCTCAACATTCCAGTTGGAGTGTACAGTGCAAAATAACCTAAACATTCAAACTATGCTTTGAGGATATACTACTCAAACTTTGCTAGAGATGTTGTTCTATACCAGGCCAATAGGTAGATTGGGTGTTTCATCTAAGCTGTGAACTAAATGTACTAATAGAGATGAGCAAACATTATAGAATATACAGTGCAGTTGGGGTAGCCAAGCGGGTAAGGTTTTACTTGTCATACTAAAGGCCTGGGTTTGAGTCTCCATATGTGTGAAGCCTTTACCAGTGTTCCTAGCGATGGTATTGCTGGAAGACAATGCTCACTCATTAAATGTGACACGTGTTTATGGAGCTCTTGAAGTTGATGTTCCATTTTCTTTGTCCTCTGTTCCTTGTCTTGTTCAAGAGATGTTAGTGTAAAGACCATTGTGGCATTCAACATATTGAACATTTTAATACATCAATATTCTGCAGTGCAGTAAAAATATTTATTGGTAAGATGAAAGAGGTGAATGGTGAGATTTCAAATCAAAAGCTTTCTTTATACATATTACTTTCAAATCCGTCATTGTACCAGAAAGGGTCATATTTATTATATACCTGATTAGAATTTCAATAAGTGGTTTGGTGCTGACAAAAGTGGGCCCATTTTGTTTATGACAATCTCTGGTATTGTAATCATTCATACAATATCCTTAGCAAAAGTTGAGTTGTATTCCAGTTCATTATTCTGTGCCTATACTCCTTGGTAAGCTAGTAGATTAAAGTCAGGTATAGAAACTAGTTTATCAGAATCTATTACATCATTGCCATAATCCTCTATTTTGGCTGTCATCACACTATAAAGGTCTTCCAGATTTTCAACAGAAGTCCTCTTCACTCAACTGACCTTAATTAGTTGTGTGGATAACAGTTTGTCTTCTCTAATCTATTGTAAATGAATAGTACTCAAATCTGTGTCTGTTGTCAGACATTTTACTTGGAATTTGGAATTCATAAGTAGTATATATATATATATATATATATATATATATATATATATATATATATATAAGCCAATACCAATGAACTATAAAGTTCCTTGTACTGAAGAAAAGTAAAATGCAACCAAACAATCAAGAAGATTTATTTTCATCCCTGAATACAGTCATCAGAATCCATCATGAACTGTACCGGTAATTTGTATTTTTGATTTGAAGATGGAACAGATCGATCATCACGTAAATATCCACGTGGGGGTAAGATAATCTTCTGAATCTAGCCTTTGATATATAGCCTTATCTTTACATATCTTATGCTGATGTAATGAAGCAGAAATTGTTCTACTTCCAAAAATACATGTATCTTAACCTATCTTTACACTGTCATCAATACCTTTGTTCATATTTAAAATGTATGGTCTTTTTGAAGAACATGATATGTTAAGAAATAACATATTTCTCCTTTGAGTGGGTTTGCTTTCTTTTACTGTGGCATGAATTAATGTGTGGGTCCCTTCCTTGTAAGTTGTATATGGAGACACCCTGTCTTTAACTTAATTGTATATACACATTCTTTGGTCATACCAAAGGTGGTTGGGTAGCCTTGTGGTTAAAGCATTCACTTGTCACTGTGGAGGTCTGGGTTTGGTTCCAACACAGGTACAATGTGTCAAGCCCCTTTCTGCTGTTCCATGATGTATATTGCTGCTGAAAGTGGCAACAACAAAAAACTCACTCATTTATTACATGTTTAGAAACCTGTGTTCATGCTTTAAATATGCCATCTGACACCAGCATAGTTGTCCTTGTTACTGGCATAGGGCAACATATATGTTCTTTCTTTGATAATGGAATGAAGCCAAATATGCTCTTTGAATAAAGCAAGATATGCTTTACTTGAATTATGGCATATACATATTCTCTTTCTTCGGTCATTGCAAACAGTAGCAGACTCATTTCTCTGATTAACGGATATTTATAATACCTCTGCATATATGTTCTTTCTGTCATTGTGTTAGATAAGGCAATGGATTCTCTTTGACAACATATGCGCTCTCTTTGACTGCAATATAAGTCAACATGTGCTTCATCTTTGATCATGGCATACGTCTACACATGTACTCCTCTTCTTGATTACGACATGGGTTATCATGTGCTCTTTCTCTATGTTTGACATAGGGCAACATATAGTCTTTGATTGATTATGGATCAGGCAATATGCTTTATATTTGTGAAGTATTTCATTACTGGGCCATTGTTTCCATGTTACTTACCGTACACAACTACATAAAAAAGGTATATGCACTTTTTCACTCTTGCTAAGTTGTTCTTTTTGAATACCGGTACCAGCTTCTCCACAAAATAACTTTAAACAGAAAGGAAGAACATTCCTTACCCTTTTGGTTTATCAGCTGGACAAATTGATATATTGTAGAATTGCATAAGTTACGGTGTCGATGAAACATGGCAACCCTTCCTTTCTCTTTTGGTATATTAAGTTACTTTATATATACTTTATAATGAAAAGGTTGTCTCTAAACACAATAGCAAATATATGCTCACAAGTTAAATTATCTGTATCTTACGCAAATCAATGTTGTGTACAAAATGACCGGTTTTCTCTGAACATGGTGCACACATTTTGTGCAAATTTCACAGTAAGATGAATGCATATCTAAGGTTGGCCAGCCTTTAATGAGCCTTTGTATACATTTTTATTTGGAGATGCCATTGTCACACGTTTGTGGCCCAGTATTAAAATAATGCAGATTTGTTTATGATTACATATGCATCTTTTTCAATGATTATTCGGAAATATGTTTAACTACTTTTGCAAGTAATCTTTCTTTGTTAGAATGTCATCTTTATTGTTGAATAATTTTGTTATTCATTGAAAATGGGAAATTTAATCTTATGTATTTAATCATTAGGTTCATATTTTATCCAAACATACCAAAATAGGGATTTAAGATTTCTTCATGTTTTTTTTTCAATTTGAAGATGGGAAAGATCGGTCTTCACATGCACGTCAACATGGGGGTAAGATCAGCAGATAACTCCTCATGTATATAAATCTCAACTAAAATATCTTTGAGTGTAATAACAAATACTTTACAACATATCAACATTTTACTTTGTTTACAATCAATTTACAATTATTTGAATGGTACTTGAAAGGATGTTTAATAAAAATTATTTTCTTTTGCAAACAAACATTTTGTGGTTTAACCTTTTGATAGAAATATGTTTTTTGACAATATATGTAGTATTTAAGGTACATAGTTGTATACAAGTTGATATTTGAAAGAGTTTTATACAACTTTGCATTTGTTTACACTTTGAGACATTTGATGTGTGTTGCTATGTGGAGGGAGAAATGCAACATGGTCAAAGTTTACAAATTGAATCCTCTTGAGGTTGTTGATATATATCTAAATATGGCTGTTTTCTTAATGCCCCGAGAAAACATAGGTGATTCAGTCTAAGGGAGACAGCTCTTCCTGAACTGTGGGTTAGTATTTGCGACAAACTTCATAGAGACTTTGTTGCTTCAGTAAGAATAGCACAGTCAATCTTCTCATCAAATCATAGCCCAAAGTCCTTGAAGATATCTGTCAGAATTCTTGCTCATTAAATGAAAGGCCCAATCCTTGTCTTTCTTTCTTCTCTTGACCTAAATAGTGTAGAATAGAATCTTGTTTCTCATCACTTCAGAGTAACACTATTCTTAGAATATCCGTTAACAGCCAGACGGCCTGGTAGTTATCAAATGTAGATTTCATTGTCCATGTCAGTCATTAGTGTTGAGTTAGTGCATTTTACATTAATCAAAGTAAGATGAAATGACAGGAATTTCAGCAGCCTTGTCATTGTGTTACAGTATGGAGATTTTATGAGCGCTTCTAGCGAATCACAATATTGCACATGTTGAATGGCTTCAAAAAATGCATCTTTTTGAAATATAAGCTTTTGGTGAGCATTTGGGTGAATGAAAGAATGCAAGAACTGCTTGTTTATATCTTAAGGCATTCATAACAAGTGAATCCCATGTGTAAATTACCATGCATACTATAGTGCTTCTCTGAGAAGCTATGCCTGGCTTGCCAAAGGCATACAATGCTTGCAGTAAGGAATCCAAGCTTCACCTCGGATAAAGCTAGTCAGTCTGCTTGGCTATTGGAAGGAATAAACAGATCACTAGTATAATAACCAGCATTGTTTAGCATTCATGAGAGATTCAATGTAAATGTATAATGAATGAATTATTATTTTTCATAATATGATGTGTACTCCATATGTTGTGGCAATGTCAGCTATGCATACTTTCACATATGAGAGCCAACATAGTCCTTCACCTTTAGCATTCATATATCACCACAGCTATCTAGAATAGTCCATGTAACATACCCACCTGGATTAAAAGGATTTCCACAAACCAGAACGCGTCTGAACCCCTTGGGGATCCTGGTTAGAATAGGTCCTCAGCATCCTATGCTAGTGGTAAGAAGTTTAATGGATTGGATGGATGGCCAGCAACTTGTTTGATAGCATGGCATCGTACCCCAGTGGCATGGATTGTTGCTCATAATATCAAACACTGTATTGTCTGGTCCAGACTCGATTAGTTACAGGCTGCCCTCATATAGCTGAAATATTGCTGAGTGCAGCGTTAAACCACAAAGTGTTTATAATTGGGTAGATAGGGAAAATGTAAATGTATGCTTTCTCTATTTGTAATGGAGCAGTTATGAAGGAAGTTATTGTCAGGACATGATACATTATTATATTTTCATCCCTGACCACTTCACTACCAAACATCTCACATCAATCCTTAAGTATCTAGAAATGAAGAAAATCAGTCGGTGTGCTGAAATACACCATATACCAAACATTCTACCAAACATCACCTCCATCAATGGTTACACAGATGCCTTGAACAATTAAAAAAATATATAAATATAAATCAAAATGCCTTTCACATCACAATATTAATAAATTGGATGAAGATCTAATAATTGATATATTAGCCTGAAGCTGAAATCACGCTTGATGTCCATAAGACATGTTAGAGAGGTTTGTGGAAATTTTTTTACTCTCCAGAATGTAGAAGGTATAGGCCAACACTTCACCAGTAGATGTATAGGAATACCATGTACTAAGCTAATTAAGCCACATATATGACAGAATGCAAACATAGGTTGATTGATATATTTTCATTTCCTTAATGCATGCTGCAATATTTGAAGTACGAGTTCGAGCAATGTTTTCGATGCTTTTTGGAACGTAACAATCATCAGGATTGTATATTTTGCAATTGACATGCAATATATGAAATGTATTTTATTTACAGAATTTGTTTTCAGTTACTTGTTGTGTTGTGCATGCAAAATGCATACTAATCCCATATAGCTGGCCTTGTTGATCCACTTGTCAGTATCGCTTATACTAACAACCGCCCCTACCGCTTTTCTTTGCGTCTCATGCTTTTGGAGGTCAGCTTGCATGATCAGTAGAATCTTACATCACTTTGTTATCGTGGACTATACTCAGACTGTGGAACAGGTCAATCGACATGTTAGATTAAGTCATGAACTTTGGTACAACTTGCATGGAATCTATAGTTGATGAGCATAGAAGGGTATTGCAACAGTTGGTTGATTTGTCGTTTCAGAAGAATATTGGCTCAGGTGCCATTCTGGTTTTCACTGGAACCATTCTATGATAAACTTCACCAAGTCAGATTTAATTTGCAAAAATTGTTTCAACCAATTTGTTTGAAAGTTTGTGGAGTAAACTATTTTAAGATAAATTTTAATTGCATTTGGAGCAAAATGACATCAAAAGTAGTTTCATTCCTAATACTATCACATGACACAGGACACACCTTGGCTGCAGTTGCGACCATGATGTATTGTTGAAACGTCATTTTTTGGATTTCTTAGACTACTTAGTGCATACCTGGTACCTAAATCATTTTAGCACACATTAAGCTATTTTCAAAATTTAAATTTAAAGGAATTCACTAATATTCCGTGAATTACAATTCGATCGTTGCCCAAAGCATTGCATGTGTAGCAGATGAAGTAGAGTGGCAAGCGCTATGTGTTGATTAAAGTAACAGTAAAATATTACATATGATTGATTTGGGGGTATTTTTTCAAATATTTACATTATCTGGTCATTTTGACCAGAAACCTATAAACATGACCATCAAAATAGATACAGTAGTAAATCGAGATGTGCCATTGACCGGTTCTCGCTGTCGGGTATAACAAGATAAGCAATGTGATGTAAGAGTAGCCTGCCTGTACTATTTCCACAATACACATTCAGTCTGTACTGCATTGTGCAGCATGTGCAGTTGAGGGGTATTGCAATCACACTGCAGGTGCCCTTCAGTGATGTTCAAGGTGTACATTCTGGTGCACTGTATCGTATATCAGCTGCAAGGTGCCTGCAAGTGCAATGCATGTCCCAGTAGGTGTACTGCATGTTATGCAGATTGTGCGTGTATTGTGTGTACATTAAGCTAAATGTAATCACAGGTGTATCACTCGTGAGGCAATACTGATTCACACAACTCTGTATTAATGGGATGAAGAAATGAAATTATACTATATTTCTTTATCAAAACAGTAAAAATATTATAATTTATATTCAGCATTTTAACCATTTTTTTCATGTTTCTTGGTTGAAAACTGTAAAAGCAAAAGAAAATTTGTGTTGGCTTTCTTTACAAGAAGATATTGGTAAAAATTTGAAGCTTCTATCTTTGCATATGAAAAAAGTACATCAGAAAAAACAAAAACACTTATTTCATGACAGATATAACTATATAAGTTAGAAAATTAGAAAATTAGAGTTTAATAATTATTTATCTTTTTGGTATCTGGTATAACTTAACATTTAAGGATAAACCATATCAAGCAGACTTGTGTGAGAGTAGTCTCCCCTTTCCTGCCACGCGGGCGTTACACCACGTAGAGCTTGTAGCCTTGATTTTCACAGTCCAGGAAACAAGCCTATCTTTTTTTCCTCCTGTCTTATACAGGTGCGGCCGATCTCCAGACAGAAAAATCTAGTCGCACGCAGCGCGGCAGTGATAGGGTGTCCCCTTCTAGGCGATATACCCCAATCCCCAAACTTGACCCCTCCAGCCCCACTGGTAGTCGGGACCCCTCTCCTGAACGCACAGAGAGAGATCAACAGTATAGGTCCAATTCTCGATCTCCTGATCGGAATTATGGTAAATACGGCGATAGGAAACGTGAGAACAGTTATGATAAGAAAAATAGTGATAGGTATGAGGATCCCAACAGAAGGAATAATGAACGTGATGATCCTCACGATCAGCGCGATAATCGCTACAATTATGATAACCGCTATGAAAATCGCGAGGATCACTACAATGATCCTGATTCAGGCCTTGACTCAAGAAGAGCTAGAGATAGGTTTGACCATGATCGTGAATCCTCCGACCATCGGCGTAACCATGGGGAGACATATCGCAGAGTCTCTCCTGACCACGAGAGTTCAGTGAATAGTTACCCAGTTCTTCCGCCAATAAATGACACCCCTCCTCGTTCAGCAGAACGTGGCCCTGGTAAGCAGGGCGAGAATAAAGACCGCTCCTCAGACCCCCGCTCAGCAACTTACACCACCAATACCAATACCGACTCGGGCATTGCAGACTCAGGTGTTAGTCCAGAGGACCAATACAACAGAGGCCGGGACAACTATGAGGACGAGATGGCAAGGTGAGGCTCAAGTTTGTCCCCTGGGGGGTTCTGGTGATTAATGCCTGTCTGTACCACCATGCTTAAACATGGACCAGATACGGATTCAGGGTCTGAATAGGTCCCCAAGCCTTAGCTTTTTTTGAGAGGTGACAAAATGGATCAGGTTGTCAGGCTCATGACAAGGCTGACTGTGTGTCATTGTACGCTGATGACGATAGGTATTTCTTGTAATAGGAATCCACAGACCATAAAATATATTACTACTGTATGTGGCTGAGGCTTATATGGAGGGAAGACTGGATCTCTCAGTCAGAACCTGATTTGTTTGTTTATAGTTTAACGCCGCACTCAGCAATATTCCAGTTCTATGATGGCATTCTGTAAGAAATCGAGTCTAGACCAGACAATCCAGTAATTGACGTCATGAACATTGATCCACACAATTGGGTTACGATGACATGCCCAAACCAAGTCAGTGAGCCTGACCACCCGATCCCGTTAGATGCCTCTTACGACAAGCATAGTCGCCTTTTACGGCAAGCATGGGTTGCTGAAGACCGATACTAACCTGGATCTTCACGGGTCGTCAGAACCTGAGTGCAGTAGTGTGTGATTGTATTAATGTCTGCCCTCAAAACTGAGGTGTATAAGTCTTGTTTCTCACCTCACACCTTTGAGAAGAATTTGAATAACCTTCAATCACATACCATACAATCCGGAGGGCTTTGAAATAGTCTACCGGTCAAAATGTTGCACTGAGAACTTACAGGGAATTAATACGAAGGGAAGTAACTCATGGGCATTGTTAAATTTACATGGTTGCAGCGAATAGATTGATGCTTATAAGTTTCTCACTTGGGGCTTAACGTCACTGGTCCAGTTTTTTTTACAGTATATCAAGAACTGGTTTCTCTCGTTGAGACTGAATCAGTATTTAGCGATTAAGGCTTTGGCAACCTTTAATAAGAAATATATGTGATTTTGTGAATTCAAGAACTACCTTTTAACAATATTTTATCCTCTTGGCTAGGAACAGTATGCATTGTTTCGCATTAGAATGCCTTATGCATGTTATGATACATGTGTAAGATATTGCAGCTACAACATAAAGATAACTCCTCACTCTCTATGTAATGGGCTGCTTTTTTAATCTGATCGTATTTGTCCCATGAAATTCGAGGAAGCGCCGGGATCTCGGAAACAGGCTCGCCAACGACAAGTTTGATATTGATGATGATGACACCTTCCGGTTTGAAGACATGGAAGACAGGGACCAGATCGACCGTGACCGATGGGAGCGTGATCGTGAATACCGACGACGCTGGATTGAGGAAGAAAGGAGAAGACGAGAAGAAGAAGAAGCAAGGAAGAAGAGGCAAGAAGCTGGAGAGGAAGATTATGATGATGATGACGACAGGAAGAAGATGAAGAGATCTGAATCTGAAGAGGTGAGAACAGAATTATTGACTGTTTTAAGTCATTTACATTTCCTTTTGATAAATTCTGTTTCGGAGGAAATATTTTCCTCTTGAAAATAAGTAATTGAAGTAGGTTTGATGTTGTTTATATGTGACAGATGTGTTTCTTGAGAATGTTGGTTAACTTATCCTTAGTTGCACCTTTTCCGGATGATATGGTTGAAATGAGAGTTCAGAGAATGATCGACAATTATATAGCACTGCAGCATCTATTGTTTTCTCTTGTGTATTTTTCTATATCTTTGACACCTAATTTCAACATTATAGGAGCTGGCCAGGTACCCTTCACCCCCAGAACTGAGAATGGGCTCTCCTAGGGATACTGAGTCGGCCAGGCAGAGAACAAGGCAAGAAAGTAAGTCAACAGTTTTTGTTTGATGTTTGGATAATCAATATTTTGTTGAAGAATTTGTCCGCTGTGCCTAAGACCCATGCAGGTTCGATTCTCTTCATAAGAACAATGTATGAAGCTCATAGTTGCCGTCCACTGATGTAATGTGGGGAAAATTGCTCAATGCAGCATGAAACCTGTCTTCCATGTAAGTTGTAATACTCTGTGCTGAAAGATTGTTCGATGTTCCAGGAGACCGCCTGATGCAGGAGCTCGAGAATGCCCGGGAAGGCAGGAAGCACACCGAGAAGGAGAGGGAAGAGCTAGTCAAGAAAGCCAAGATGCTGCAGAATAAGACACAGAACAGGAGGAACCATGGTAGGCGGCGGCCATATTTGTCTCACAGCAGGTCTTGATCACATGACAAATGTAATGTTCATTGCCCAAAAAAATGCCAGACATTTGAAAATCTTTGCTCTTTTCTTTTAAGCAGGGAAACTGAAATTTCATATTTTCTACAAACCAGTCGGACTATTTCCATATTGAAAGAACTGGATGACCAATATATTTGATAAAACTCTTGATATAATGACGTTTGTTTCCATCCCATCAAGAGTAAGTCTATGAATAAAAAAAATAAAATGTATAATGTAAATCAGTGGTCATCCTCCAAATCCCAGTTCACTTCAGACTCTTCACAGTATTCCAGAGTTTACACACTTCACACTAAATATTTAGGATATTATGTACCTTGCTGATAAGACAGACAACCAATGATGGCAGCTGGGACGAGTCCAAATTTATTACCCGGGTACCCTACCCACTATTGCCCAACCCTACCCGGGTACCTGTTGTAGGTCTCGAGAGATAGGTTAAAAATGTCCGTTTAACTGTACTCCTGTCAAAATGTATTTAGATACACGTATCAACTGATCTGTTCATGCATACACTGAGGCTGATGGAAGTTTATCTTTATGAAACATATGAAGTCAGAAGAAATGTGTGCATAGTCAGAAAGAAATGTGAACATTTGTCCCTTATAGTGTAGCCCTAAAGTTCCAGATATATTTTCCCATTAAACAATATAATCACATGACTAACCACGGGTCCGGGTAGTACTGTGGGTACCCGGGTCCTACTCAGTACCCACCTAACCCGAGTACCCGAGTTACCTGTCCCAGCCCCGTCCTATAGTGTCATCTGGATCAAAGCATTATGGTGCATATAAAGGGACATAACTCTTGGGAGCTTGTTTATATTGGCTGGGTATCATGACATTTGTAAAATATATGAGTGTAAATTAAAACAACAGATTCCATTTGCTGTAAAAGGCATTATAATGATGAAAATAATATGAATGAATTACTGAAAATCACTGATGGCACTAATTATTGGTGAAAAGCACCCGCCCTTCACACAGTTCTCATAAAAAATCTCATTAAAGGCCAGGGAGAGAGTAAGAATGTGTGTAAACTCCGTTTAAGGTCAACGCATTGTGTATCACATGGACAAGCAACTGTCATTTTAAGTCAATTCCTCTGAATATCAACAATACAATTTCTAGAATGACTTAACCAGGCCCTTGACGGTAATATCTTCATTGAAAATATCAACATGCTATCTATATCAATATGTTATTTCTACAGTCTTTCAAGTAATACTTTAAGCCTTTTATGGTCACCATAGTTGTAATCCTGTTCCTTATCTTTAAACAGCTCGGGATATATGGAAGAAAAGATACTTCGAAGAGAAGAAAAAGACTGCTCCATTAGAGGAACAGACGAACCGTCTGAAGCATGAACTGGACAGCATCCACAGGAAACTCATGTCCGCGCTGGAGGGACCAAAGGAGAAGAATATCCGATTGGGAGAACCGAAACCGTCTCTCAAGGTCAGTTATTCTCTGCTGTGACATTGATAGTGATAATGACTTTCATGATAGGTCAGTTATTCTCTGCTGTGACATTGATAGTGATAATGACTTTCATGATAGGTTAGTTATTCTCTGCTGTGACATTGAAAGTGATAATGACTTTCGTGATAGGTCAGTTATTCTCTGCTGTGACATTGATAGTGATAATGACTTTCATGATAAAGGGATTTATGTAGGAATCAAAACCGAGTGCCCTTGGCAAGAAAATTGGGACAAAATTGTGATATTGTTCAAAATTTGAATATTTTAAAGTTCTTATTTTCAGTTATTCTGAAGAATTGGGAAATATCAAAATTCAAATTGGGAATTTTTACTATTATTTGCTGCAGATTTGGGGCTGAATATCAGTCTCTGAGCAGGTCTAGATAAATCTGTGTAATTCTGATCTAATTTCTTCCGTCATTTAGTATTTTGGTATAAGATGATTACTTGAAGAAATATTGATATTTTTCCAAATGTGGTATATTTACTGTCTTGTATGAAAGTTACGTCCCGGAAAAGCCAGTGAAATAGATCATTGTAGTAGGTGCAAGGTCATTGACACTTGTTACTGACACATGCAGGGGGACGCGGGTGGCCCTGTTGTCTGAGACGATGCAGTTCGTTGTGAAGAGTTGTCTACCTTAAGTGCCAGGAACCTGTGAAAGTGGGTTAAATCCTGGTTCCCCTGAATATGTTTCTAGGTTTGTCACCACCACATTCGTGCTCGTGGGTTTCACCAAAGTGGTAAACATTTCAGACCTGCATCACTTCAGGCTTTCCTTCCACATTAAGCTGATTTGCTGTGATATAACTGAAATACTGTTAAAACAGTGTTGAACCCAACTCACTCAGATACTGAGACAGATAGACATTTAGCGGCTACCTTGGTTAAGGTGATAAGAAAACGTGGTAGGATAAGGGCTAACGATATCCAAAATGTTTGTTCTTTTCTGAAGACCAAATTGGGATTTGCTTTTCTCTTTGAAATAGGTTTCGAATGTACTACAGATGGTGTACATTTCATGATTTGCAATGTGTTAAATTAATGCACATTAGCAGCTACTTACACTTTTCAGAGATGGAAACGAACATCGGTGGTATGTATTCACTCAAACATAATCCTATACATGGGAATTGCTTTCCCTAGACAGTTCATTTCCATAGACAGTTAGTATGTAGTTGATGTCAAAGATTTACACATTACCAGAATATGGTAGAACATGGCGACAACAAACATGGATAGAGAGAACGAATATGGATAGAGAGAACAAACGGATATATCAAACAGTTACAAATTCGATTTATATCCTTTTTATTATTATATAAAGTATACAATTAACAAACTCTACAGTGAATTAATGTATACAGCGAACTGATAAGTATTTTTCTGAGAGAAAACATATACACGTGTATCCCGAACGAGGTATATAAAGAACTGATTTCTCCTGTCCTGTTTGTTCCATCCATGTTCTACTGTATAGGCAAAGGTGGACCGCACTGGTTATACATGTAACTTGACCTCTTTCAATTTGTTTGCAGAAACCAACACGAGCTCACCATGTCCGAGGGTAATTAATTCGTGTCATGCATGTTGTCAATAACCTGTCACTCATGTGTTTGTTTCATGCACTTCAGAATAACTACATAATCCAGTGCACTAAACTGCAGCATGAAATTGAAGACCTTCGACGCAGAGTGGAAAATGCCAAAATGAAACTGACTGCTGAGATGAAGGTAAGGAAATTAACATAGCAATTAATGTAGAAACACACCATTACTAATATCAATGCACACAAATTCAGTACATCTCTAGGATTAGAAGCTTAAGCTTTTAACGTCATTGTTGTATGTCGTCCTGTCAGTTGTCTATAACAAATTGTGGTCACTAATGATTCTTCCGATTTCTTCCGAGTTTTATCAATTTAATGTTATAGAGGACATTATAAAGAGATTTAACTAAATATTTCCATAGTTGGTTCAAATCACATAGATTTGTGATGTTGGTCAATAAGTAAATTGTGCTTCCATGCATCATGTTCAATATATGGGTAATACAGTGTTAGCACTAGTCCTGTAGCCCTTGCAAAAGTGTCCAATAGTAAAGGTATCATAAAGATTAGTAGAAATTTGCCCTTTTTAAAGGTTTTGCTATATGTTATCATTATAAGGACGAGTGGACTAAAGCTGTTAGTTTCTATACCCGGTAATATAGCATATGGTTATGGGTTAGGTCAGGGTCTATTCAAGATAGTTGGTTGGTTGGTTGATTTGTTGTTTAGCGCCGCACTCAGCAATATTCCAGCTATATGACGGCGGTCTGTAAATAATCGAGTCTGGACCAGACAATCCAGTGATTAATATCATGAGCATCGATCCACGCAATTGGGATCGATGACATGCATCAACCAAGTCAACGAGCCTGACCACCCGATCCCGTTAGTCGCCTTTTACTACAAGCATAGTAGCCTTTTACGGCAAGCATGGGTTGCTGAAGACCTATTCTACCCCGGAATCTTCACGGGTACTATTCAAGATAGTCTCAGTACCTTTGCACAATGTGTTGTATTACTAACCCTGGCTATTAGATCCAGACACCTTTCCTGTAGATTCTAACACATTTTGTAATCCTTAAAAGTAAATCCTTAAGTAGAAATTAAAAAAGTGAGAAGTGCAGTGAGATTAATGGATAGAAAAGACATTATAGTTAGTTAAGTTTTAATTCTGTTTCTGTTTACTTAATCCTTTGTTTTCTTTCTTTGCCTAGGTAAACATATTAATTAGCATGCCAAGATTTCCTGCAAAAGCAACGCCTACAGTTACGCCATATTAGGTAGAAATAGGAGGTACTACCGCTAATATTTATTCTGTTTGAGCATAGTGGCTAATCATAGGTGAGGGATGCCTGATTCATTGGATCAGAATCTCCGAATTATGAAATAATTTTTTTTCATATTTTGATACATACCGGTATGTTTATTTTGAAATATCTTGAAATTTTCTATTCTAAAATTTATTTTAAACATCCTTTGGGCATATTTTCGTAAATGTTTCTATTTTATGTGTTTTATATGAGCTAGCATTAGTTTCTGATCCTCTGATGGGTTATATACATGAAAGCTAGAGCTCGAGGGACAATATAATGCTACCTCGTTGTTGCTAGTTGGTTGTTAGTGCATTAGCGGCATAAATAGGAAAAAGCTTCATTTTGTATCAGTTAATGCTCTGTTTTATATCTATGCATTTTTTTCTTCATTTCCTTTTTGAGAAAATAATATTAACGTATATACATATCAATTTTTTATCCATATTATATATTTTTTCTTAATGGAAAAAAGTCAGTACTCAAGTCGATTGCCTTATGCTGATAGTATAAGAAGGAGTTTTGTTCATCTCAGAGTTAGTAATTAAATCATTGGATTTTGAGAAATGATATGTATCAGTATGCAGTTCTTTATGTAAAAAATCATTAACACTAAAATCATTTACTAATGTACATTTCAGAAACTAGATAATAAACTCAAACTTACAATAGTGTGTTGATCATTACTAGGCTAGTGTATTTCACCCTAATGTATTGACAATAAGGCCTAGATAATAATTCCTAATATTGTAGCTTTCAGAACCGATACTATTTACAAAGCTTTTCTTGTTTTTTGTTGCTTATTGTGTTTATTTACTAAGGTAGTAGTAGCGTGTCAAAAGCCAAATAATCGCAAGTTCTATTGCAGTCAGATTAAGAATTTATACAAGGACCTGGATTTGACCAAATAATTTATTGTCATTTTAAAGAAAAATAAGTGAATGTAATTGATCAGTTTGTTTATTATATATAAATATTGCATATGTAAAGATCAACATATTAATATCTAACTATTGTGCATGTCACTCACATATGTATATAATCAGCTGTTACAATAATCTCCTACATATATATATATATATTGGATGTATTTGATGTAAGAACTAACTGCATGTCTTCCCACTTCAGCAGCATAAGAAGGCGTGTCCTTACGCTATGATGTTTGACTTTGTACAGACAATCGTACCTGCGTGTGTGCCTCCTCCCGCCCACCGCCAGATCATGTGACTGTCTGCCTCACTCCCACTTGTCTCGTAGCTCTACCTCTGTCGCCTGTAACACACCACGGCAATCTGCTGCAAACCACCCCATCTGTCTCATGTAACCTAAATTATGACGAAACCAAGTATTTATTTATTTATTTATTTATTTATTTATTTATTTATTAAAGGACATGTGTCACTTAATCCCTAAATTCTTATCAAATGATTTGATTTTATATCAAATATGAATTTTGTCTTCAGATCCCTCTTTTTCAAACTGTTTAGGTAAGGGGAGATAATTCATGATTTACTGGCATCAGCTACTGAGAGATACTAAGGGTAATGGGTCAGCTGCTCTCGTTTGGTGATGGCACTTACCTCTTTCTTTAGTTTTACAGAAACATTGCTTCAATGTTTACCTTTGGCTGTACCTATGAATGGATTTCTGAATCTGTGTGGTTTTTATATAAAATTCATGTATCTTAAGGCTGTAACCTTGTTTACTTTTACCTGACTTTTGAGGTTCAAGCAGAATTATTACAACCATTTATCAGCTGGATGTCAAACTTGAAAATACTTATGCTTTCGTAAAAGATTATATGCACTGGAATGGGTAACTAATATACTTCACCCACCACCAACAAATTATATGCACCTTTCGTCACACTAATTTCCCAATATAACCTGTTCGAGGTTAAATGGATGTCTATTTTTTCTAAAATGTGTACTCTTTTTAGAAAGATTATAAGCATGTTGATATGAACATTTTCTCATGATTGTCTGGGTGTTTTGAACAACTTGTGCTTTTTAAAATGTCAAATTGATAAAAGCCCTCCCATAAATGAGCACCATGGGGTTTGTTTTTCAAAATTTATTTCATTTGGTTGTTGAAACAATCTCCATGATGACATCCTGACCAGACCATTTGCCGTTTTGCAGCTTCGAACCCAGGCCGATGCAGAGTTACGAGCAGTGAGAACTGAGGCGTTGCAAAGTAAGATCAAACATAGGGGCCATGCCTTCAGCCAAATATATTAATTTACAGCTTCGCAACCAAGCTGAAGCCGAACTACGGGCCTTGCGAGCAGAACTTTCACAGAAGAAAATCAACTTGACCTTGACCCGGAACCAACACCTTGCGGCCTTGAACCCTTCAGGAGAAGTGCCGATGACCCCACACGCAGCTCTCGCACCACAGTCTTAGGCATAATTGTACCATCATGTAGTAATTTATTAACTGTTATTTATTGATATCACTCTCCAGCACAGTATTCTGTATCTATTCCAGACTGATCAGTTTGATTTGAAGTATTTGACTGCATAAAGTAGATATATATTTGATATGAAAAATCATGTTCTATTGGTGTGAAAAGATAATTGAGTATGGTCATATATGATAAATTGTAGATTACAAGATATCTATTTTTAAATGTACCATTCATGGAGGTTTATAGTGGTGATATGTCTTGTAAGATATGTAGTATTGAGGAAGCATTATATTTCAAAAAGTATTTATATTGAGTATTGCATGATTAGAAGAACTGTCAATGTCATTAGTATGTCTAGTGTTAGTGGCAGATTATGTGGTATATTGCATCGTTGATTTCATCATGTCCATAGCAGCACAGAAATGTCATTTATGATGCTTTTTGAAAAGTATGGTTTAAGCTGCACTTCATCTCCAACTCTCTTGTGCCTTATACTAGAGCATGTGCTTCTATACACTGTATAATACCTTGTGCATTCATACATTTTGTGGAACATCTTAAAAAAAATACAACCTGTAAATGGTACTTTTTGTGTACAAATTGTATAGATTTTTTGTTGTGGATGTATATTTTGTAAATACTTTTGAAATATTCTGTAACAGCGAAACCAAACTTTCATATGAGTGACATTAAAATCCCAACAGATTACCACCTTATAACAAGCTGTTTTTAATATTTTGAATTATTTTCTTGAATTTGTATAAATATATATTGATATGAAAAGGGTTTGAAAATACTGATTACCCCAATTATTTGAAGAGCATGCTAGTCATGATAATAGTAACTATAACTATATATTTTGATAATGGACTAAACTGCTGAGTCAACCAAATAAGTAAAATGCTTTACTTTCATATTCGATAATCAATAATATATTAGTTTGATAATGGCATGTGAAATCTAATGTATGTCACACTTGTTTATTTACTGACTGTAATGTCTCTGCATGGTCGTGTATTTCATGGTTGTATTATGATTATTATGATAATTGTCAGGTTTCATAATACATTCTAAATAGGACCTTTGGGCTTTGAAAAGTAGGTCCATGTCCTTGTTACATCTTGTATTTTTGGATCTGTCTGTATGTGCCTGTAGTCACTCCTTACTGTCCTGTAAATATATACAACATGTTATTATTTACATAAGTGCTGAAGTGCCAGTTTTATATATTTACAGTGTTTATTATGAACAAACTAAGTTGAACTTAAGTAAAGTTTTAAGATTGTCTTTATTTACCACATTGTAAATCAGCTTTCATATGTATATTTCTAGTTGTGCATGTTGCAGTTATGTCTACTAATTATTTGTTTTATCATACTCCAATAACGTTATAGTAAATGTTGCTTAGGTAAATAATTAAGAGAGAGAGGTGCTTATTAATTGTTTAATTATTTTTTTTTATGATTGTGGTGTTTGTTTATCAATTGTCAACCACATTGCTCTAATAACCACATCTGTACCTTGTATTGTAACTCTTTGTACACTCTCACACCTGTCTGTTGATTTATTGAAAGCATAATTCACTATGCAGGGTTGAGTCCCTTTTCTGTACCAGGATGTGCTGATCATTGGCAATCCCACATTTACCCTGTTAATCCCTGGGTTGTCAGAAGCATTCCCATGCTTGTGGGTTTTATCAAAGTTGTAAACGTCCATCAACATCTTCACTTTTGGATTTGTCCTATGTCAGGATGTAACTGTGATACTGTATATAGTGCTATAAAAGCCGTTTCACTCATTAACTCTGAGAGGTCAGATACAGGGAATTATTTTGATTATGTCTGACTTAAGGAATTCAGTTGTGATACCCAAACTTAGCGCTTACATGTCAATGATCTATACTGAGTCATTGGCGACAAACTATATCGGGTGGTCACGCTGGCTGACTCGGTTGATGCATGTCATCGATCCCAATTGCGTGGTTCGATGCTCATGATATCAATGACTGGATTGTCTGGTCCAGACTCGATTATTTACAAACTGCCGTCATATAGCTGGAATATTGCTGAGTGCGGCGTTAAACAACAAACAACCAAATCTACTGAGTCTTATCACTGTTAATACATGATTTTATTACTGGACTTAACTGGCAAAAGGTGATACCAAACACTAAGGTTTGGAGGTTAAGATTTTAGATCTGACAGAATTCCTGTTCTCAAAATAATTGACATTTAATAATAGAAACTGATTTATTTCTTAGAAGGGAGGTCGGGTAGTCCAGTGGTTAAAGCGTCACGCCGAAGACCCGGTTTCGATTCCCGACTTGGGTACAATGTGTGAATCCCATTTCTGGTGTCCCCCGCCGTGATATTGCTGGAGTTTTGCTTAAAGCGGCATAAAACCATACTCACTCACTCACTCTTTCTTAGATTACAGTTTCAAAATTTCAGGAATTTCACAAAGCTGTGAATCAGCATTTTGGATAAGTAACATTTTTCTAATATGCTATTTTCAACAATGAATTATGTTGTCCATTACACATTACTTTTCTTCCAAAGTATTCCTGTTACAGAAGTCATGGATCATATTTGATTGTGATATCACTTGTTGATTAGTCTGAAGTCATAACTTCTCATTGTTATTGTATATTTATCATGACTTTTCAAAACTAAATTTCTGTATGATCAAGATTTACACCCATTTTCTTTGTTAAAACTATATTTTGATTTTATTTTAGTCACTTCACCTACCACAGACTTTGTGTTATGGAATAGTTTGAAGAAGGCACTTACAAGTAATGTCATCACGTGCCTTCATATACAAACTGAATATGTTGTTATGCAGATTTTAACATTGTACAGAATTTTGCAGAGCTTGAAATGTTTATAGCAGGTACTCTTAGTAACTGTTTATATTATTCCATCCACTGTGACTTCATCAAAAGCATCATTGTGATATCTATAGTTATATGTTTGTCGATTTCTACACTTTTTAACAAGTACCAGTCAAACGTTATTTGTTGAGTATTCACCGTTGTTTTACATTGTGTTCTAAACATGTCTGATGATCAACTAATTTGTACTGCTGATTGTCAATGTCAAAATTTTGTTTCATAGTACCATGGAATCCCTACTATAAACGTGAATATAAATATATAGTGTATATGCCTTTATTGAGGAATAAAGGAATTAATTAATTATGTAGGGAATTTTTGTGTTAAGTTAGTTTGACACGAGGGAGATGGTTCTATGGATGGTTGGGTAGCCTAGTGGTTAAAGCGTTCGCTTGTGATGCCGAAGACAAAGGTTCGATTCCTAACATGGGTACATTGTGTGAAGCCCATTTCTGGTGTCCCTCGCCGTGATATTGCATGAATATTGCTAAAAACGGCGTAAAACCAAACTCACTCACTCGCTACACGTTCTTTATTTCAACAGAGACCATATCTCTGATTTCAATGAATGTGATGTTTTGGTGTTAACCAACATTGTTATCAAGCAAGCGATCATCAGGAGAAGATGGAACAATCTCCCTTGTTCATCATACCAACTTAAAGAAGTTAGTTTGACACTCTTCCCACAAATAATATTTCGTTATTAAGATATTTGGAAAGAGCCATTACTTGTTCATGTTATGAATTTCTTCAACATCTTTTATTGTAGTGTAACTTGATCATTTGTACCAGTGTATGTAGTCTATGTTGATATTCCCACCCACCTGCCAGTGAGGGTGACCTCACTGTAACGTTTTTGTATCTTAGCAGCAGATCCTATTAAACAATGATCACTCTTTACATTCACATGTCTGTTTTGTTTTTGAAATCCAGTATTGATTTTTGCCATTGCAGTATCATTTTTTGTTTTAAGGCCAAGGATAAAAAAGGAATGCTAACAAATTTAAATACATAAAGGTTAATTACGAAGACAGGAAATATCTGTTTGAATTCAGGATATTATTTTGTTCGTCCTTCCGTCCGTCCTTCCGTCCGAGCTTTTGTACGGCCCATAACTTTTTTAACCATGCACCCTAGCTTCACCAAACTTGCTACACACATTTACCACAATGATAACTTGTGCCTTTTGCTAGTTTGAAGATTCTGAACTTTTTAATTTTTTGCCGTTTCCATGGAAACATTAAGAAACTTAAACTTTTAGGGTGGGTGTTTTGTACGGCCTATATCCTTTTAACTATGCACCCTAGCTTCACCAAACTTTCTACACACATTAACCACAATGAGTACTTGTGCCTTTTGCTAGTTTGAAGATTCTGAATTTTTTTATTTTTGCCGTTTCCATGGAATCATGGTGAAACATAAATTTTGGGTAGAGTTTTTGTACGAGCCATGTTTACTATATTATGTATCCTAGCTTCAGGAAATTTGCTTCATTAACCACTATGATTGTTTTTTTTTATCTTTTATAAGATTCTGAAAGTTTTCTCTTTTGCTGTTTTCATGGAAACATGATGGAATTTTGAAATTTTGATGACTGATTTTGTATAGCTAATATATTTTCCAAAATTGTTTCCACACATGTAGATCATCATAAGTATTCTTAGTTTTTAAAACATTGAAGTTAAAACTGTTAGAAATATGTAATATTTCATTAATTAACAAACTTTTTACTATTTGTTGTTGACCAGCGGGGATAACGGGGGTATGTGAGTTTTGCTCATTTCTTTCTTGTTGAAAAGGTCTTTAATGTAAATTTAAACAAATCATCTGACAAACGGGTTTGTAATAATCTTGTTTTATAAAGTGTCCTAGTGGGCATCTAGGTGAGATTACTGGGTGTTCGGCATTATATGATAAAACAGAAAGAAGTGTTTTCAGTCATATCACATCGCCATTGGGGGTAGGTTTGCACAGTCGTCTAAGGCTCCGCAATTCGATATGAAGAGTTGCATCCCCTAAGGTACCAGGATCCTACGGTTGGAATCCCAGATTATGTTTCATAGTTTGTCTCATACCTTCCGGAGTCTATATAGGATATCTTCGTTATTTTCCCCGAACAACGTGATTGGCCATGGTATGTCTGAAGTACTGTTCAAAGTGGCTCTCAAAACATGTCAGTGTGTTTCAGTGTGAACAAGAACATGTCCCCAGCTTCTCACGTTTGTGGGAGGAGCCGACGAGAATGAGTGAAAGGGACGAGAATGAGTGAAAGGTGTTCGCACAATGTGACAGGCATGCCATCACACCCAATGGAGTGGAACGTGTTCATCGTTTCAGTTACTGGTGTGCGTATTCCAGAATCGAACCGCGAAGACCCGGATAGAATAGGTCTTCAGTAACCCATGCTTGCCGTAGAAGGCGACTATGCTTGTCGTAAAAGGCGACTAACGGGATCGGGTGGTCAGGCTCGCTGACTTGGTTGATGCATGTAATCGTATCCCAATTGCGTGGATCGATGCTCATGACGTCAATCACTGGATTGTCTGGTTCAGACTGGATTATTTACAGACCGCCGTCATATAGCTGGAATATTGCTGAGTGCGGCGTTAAACAACAAACAAACAAACAAAACAATAATCCAGAATCGATAAGATACAGCTCGACATTATATACCTGAAACATTGCTCATGTTAAACATAAAACGTCAAGGCAAAAAAAAGCTAACTGATTATCCACCGAAACACATTCCTTTGAGTGTAGAAGGCAAATATCGGTGAAAGTTGTATGAATGGATCACTGGAAATCAGTGCTGACATCCGTTCACGAAAAGAAAGAAAGAAAGAAAATTCACCCACCCACTCAGCGTTAGACAGGGCCAACACAGAAACACTCTGCGCCTATGCTTGTTGAACACACATCTCTAACCCACCTTCAACCCCCCTGCGTGATGGTAAACCTTATATACCCATGATGTCAGCCAGTAGACACGATGCCCTTTCCAGCTCCGTATTGCCTTCCAATTCGTCTCTAGTCCCACTCGCCCAGCACATACATATAGCCATGTCAGTGATGCAACTTCTCTCTTCTCCGTTGCAACTAAAATTGATAGGTTTGGTCACTTCGACATGGCATTTCTGGCAAATGTCAGTATTTCCGTTGTTGAAATGTAAACAAACATGGATAAACAACTCTTTATTCGTTTATCATTACATTCTCACCTTTACCTTCAACTCTCAAACAAACGTAAGCAATGCCAAGAAGCTCAATTAGATAAATCTATTCCATGTGCGAATCTTAATCATCTGTTACTAATATCGTCGTAGTAAGTGGACCTCTTCATCAATGGACGGTGACCGTTATAGAATGAACTTAGAATGTTCTCGGAGGGGTAAATAAAAGCGCAAACCATTATATTGAAACTCGGGAGGTATTTATGACCACTTGGAAGGATTCTTATATCCAACAGTATTACTGTTTTGTGAGAAACACATGTCCGCTCGTAAATCAAGGATGGGACACACATATTGTCCTTGTGCTCTTGTGAATACTGAAGGCGTAGAAACAAGCAAGTACATGTAGTAAACGTATAGTTCACGACCTAGTTGTGTGTGCTTTATATACATGTCATGGTGGACCCTTATGCCAAGCGGAAAGTAGACCTAGCATCGTTAAGCTACAAATATCCCTCAATAAAAACACTCTCTCTTGGAAAAGTTTCAAGGAATGCAAATGGCCTACAAAAAGCTTTTAAAAAGCAAACAGGGAACTTGTTTCTTCAGGAATGTGGGACTTGTCGTTTTCCGCGTTTGATGAAAGAAAGTTACCTTTACTTTTCTTGCGTGAATGCGAGGACTATACCGGGCAATTAAGTAACTGTAGAGATACAAATACTCCAAGTCGGATCAAATGTTTTAGTTTGAATTAGCTGAAATAATGGGTCTGTAACGGTTTACCAATTTTAGCAGCTTGCTGGAATTTGAATTTAGAAATCTAGAAAATAGATTGGCATACCTTAAATTTTAATAGATGTAAAATCTCTGTTTTAGTTTTATTGAAGTTAGGAATGAATACAAATAATTAGTTTGGATACATGTGGTTAAACCTGTGAAGACCAAGGGTAGAAGAGGTCTTCAGCAACCCATAATTGCCATAAAAGGATACAATGCATGTCATCGATCCCAAGTGCGTGGATCGATGTTTATGATATCAATCACTGGATTTTCTGGTCCAGACTCGATTATTTACAGACCGCCGTCATATAGGTGGAATATTGCTGAGTGCGGCGTTAAACAACAAACAAACAAACATGTGGTTAAATAAAGATATGTAACAGTTATATTGTTTTCTTGTCCATTGAACAGCAAGGTTCTCACACAAGTATAATGTAGATTTAACTTAAATGTATTTACATATACAAGTGCATTATGATAATGATAAACAATAAGGGAAAATCATTTTCCAAAATCATAAGAAATGTCTGATGAAAGCTTTGCATGTCTCCAGCTAAAAGACAAACGTGTTTATGAACCACTATCAAACAGTGATGACACCAAGTGTGAAGAAAAAGGGTGAACGTATCCTGCTCCACCGGTGACAAACACATGCAAAGGCATGAACAAACACGAGCGAATGAATGATGGTCATTGCCGCAGTTATATTACAGATATACAAAGGCGGTCTATGAACCACCGGATATTAACCAGACACAATGGTGACTGATAACATGAGCAACGATCCACGTTACGGGGCGACCCTAATCACCTAAATCCTCATTTCAGTCGTCTCTTGGCACAAGCATGATGTGGTGGAGGCCACTCTGATCTGGAAACTCAACAGGCTTATACAATTAAACTAATGTTTATGTCACCCCTGTAGCGAGCGGCGTAAATTCATATCCAGGAAATTCGTCTTACTACAAAAGACTTAATGCCTTTGTTGGTTGGTTGGTTTGTTGTTTAACGCCGCACTCAGCAATATTCAAGCTATATGACGGCGGTCTGTAAATAAACGAGTCTGGACCAGACAATCCAGTGATTAATGTCATAAGCATCGATCCACGCAATTGGGATCGATGGCACGCATCAACCACCCGATCCCGCTAGTCGCCGCTTACGCCAAGCATAATGCCTTTGTAACAAGTCTAATATGAAATTTTGACTGGTTTGGACTTGTTAACTCAGGAAAGACAATAGTCTGTCACCCGGTCTCTGGAGAATAGGGCGGTCGGGTAGCCTAGTGGTTAAAGCGTTCGCTCGTCACGCCGAAGACCCTGCAGCTGGTTCGATTCCCGACATGGGTACAATGTGTGAAGCCCATTTCTGGTGTCCCCCGCCGTGTTATAGCTGGAATATTGCTAAAAGCGGCGTAAAACCATACTCACTCACTCACTCTGGAGAATATATTGAAAAAGGAATTCAGCTCGAGCCTAGAATAATTTGGCAAGCCTTGGATCAGCTCCTGCAATTGAGCATTATTCCATTTGGATTGTTTTCAAAAATATATTTTTTAACTTTATACTTTTTTTTCTGGTACTAAATGTTAGTCTAGGAAGACAATATCTGACGGTTGTTACAATAACAGTGTTAACGTCTAACGGCAATCCCACAAGTTATATACACATACGGAGAAACATTCACATTCACGAGAGACATAGTCATTGACATGTTGGGTCAGTCACACGCTTAATCATAACGGATTTCGATGTGTGGATGACGTGCCCGAAGAGGAAAATCGTCCAGTAACGGACGGAATCCAATATAGCCAAGTCGGTCACTGTGTCAGTTGCACATGACCTGTGAAGTTCACACCGTTAATCATTAATCACTTCTACAAATATCCCACGTCGAAAGTACAGCAAACGTTTGTTTCAAGGCCTATCCTATAATTATATGCAGGGTCCT